CATCTGTGTGTGCCTGTCGGTGGGAATTCAAAAGATTCTTAGGAAACTTTGGCACATGAACAGTGATCATCAACTGGCGGCCCGAGGGCAGAATGCAGCCCGCCGAATCTGGTCTACAGCTTCAGAATTCCTTGTTAGCGGTGGCTACAGCTAATTGTGTATTGTAGTCCTAATAGAGAAGGAGGTTGTGGGATTGATTCCGGGCTGGGTGGTTTTTATCTTGTCTCCTTGTTGTCAGATGTTAAAAGTTCTTTAAGGAGTCGTTTTGTAGATTGAAGTAAAAATATTTTTCAGGTGCAGCTGAAAAGAATGAATCTTGTCAGTGTTTCTGTGTATTTTTCAAACGTTGACCTGCTCTTTTAGTTACAGGTCAGACCGTCTGACTGTTGTTCGGAGGTTTGTTCAAGGATGAATGGGAAAGGACAGGAATAACATGTGTCGGACGATCCTCTCCGTCTTTGATCCCTTTGTCTGCTCTCCCATGACGCCGGTCTCCAGTTTGTCTGTAATAATGAGCGGTGAAGAAGCCTCACGGAGAGGAGAGAATGGTGTAACCAAGGTTTTTTTCCTCCTCGCTACCTGCTGTGTTCTGGCCACACTCTGCAGGTTTATGGACTAATCGGATTAAAGGCCTGAGTGAAGCAGTCAGCCGCTGAAGATGGAGACAGAGATTAACCCTTTCATTGTTAGGTGGTCTGGGCTACAGTAACTTCTAACCTCTCTTTATACTTTATCTTTCTTCCCAACTCTTTTTCTTTGTTTCGTTCGTTCTTTCTGTTGTTTCTGGACTTTTTTTTCCGTTCGGTTCTTCCTTTTCTGAGGATGAGAGACAGACAGAGGAATGCAAACTTTTGGAGCAGAGTTCAAGCAATGTTTTACCCAAAACACAACTGCCTGGAGTGGACACATGCCACGGCATAGTTTAGCTCTTCGTCATCATCGATGTGCGTGTGCATGTGTGCACATGTGCGTGTTAGTGTCACAGATTCATTGTCCATTCTTTCTGTAGCAGTAATAAAAAGTCCAGTCGTTTCTCATAGTGTTGTTTGTGTCGTTGTTGTCCACAGGTTACAGTGTGACTGTCAGCACAACACCTGCGGTGTGTCCTGTGACCAGTGTTGCCATGGACATAACCAGTTACCGTGGAAACCAGCAACTACTTTCAGCGCTAACGAGTGTGAACGTGAGTACACACACACACACACACCCTCACAGACACACACAGGGTTAAGTCAGTGATCCCTGTAGAGGAATGTGTTTTCTCTCACATGCTGCTCTGAATGAACTCTAAATACTGAATGCTTTTTTGTTTCTTACTGAAAACCTTGTATAGTTACATACCAATAATATCTACACATATCTTCCTTTTTTATTCAAATGCATTAATGTCAGTACTTTATGTGCTCTGTCCAATAAACAGTGATACAGGAGTGATGTATCACTCCTGTATGGATGGATGGATGGATGGATGGATGGATGTTAGATGAATGAAATTACATTGTTGTTGGCCTTAATGGTGGTGGTGATGGTTTTAATCAGTGATCAACTGGTGGCAGTTAATTTGAACCTAGAGAGTGGTTCTGATTGGTGTAAAACTACGTTAAAAATGAAGTTAAAAAATCAGGCAAATTCAAACGATTGCAGTCAAAGACTCCAGCATTACTGTCTCAAGGAACTTTAAAGCCAACAGTTGGACCAAACAAGAGTTTTTAATAAAGCTGTTCTCATTATTGGAAGAGCTGCTGGAGTCTTTTGTTGTAACAGAACAGCTTTATTAAAAACTCCTGTTTGGTCCAATTGTTGGCCCTAAACCCCTCAGGTCTCGTGAAGTTGTTCTCAACACTACAAGTTCTGTCAGAGGTTTGTCCTCCCAGCACCTTTGCAGTTTGTGAAGTTCCCCTACTGTTCTCGGACAAAACCGAGGTCAGAAAGGCTAATGAAAAAGACACCCTGTGTGGGAGTGAAGGGACCCAGTCAGTGGTGTGGAGGAGGATTGACTTCTTTTATTTGTGTTGATGATGACGTTCTCGAGGCCTTCAGTTGTTGTGCACGTGTAGAATAATTTGCTATATATTTATGGTTCCAAAGTCTTACACGCAGAAGGTTGTTGGTTCGATTCCCAGAGGAACCGCAAAGATTAACACTGTGAATTTCCCCATTGTGGGACGAAAAGGAGACTTGAATTTCATTTTTTTCAAATTACATTTTCCATGTAGTAACTCTAGAGTTTAATTGATTCTCAATCCTTAATCTTTATTTGATCTTTCTAGATAACTAATGGCTGAGACTATTTGCGTTCGAGGACTTGTGTCTTGTATCTTAGACCTTGTGAAGCCGGTCAGGAGGATGTGGAGCGCTGGTTTATTCACACGGCACCTCTCAGGCGCTGAGGTGCAGATAAGAAGAAAACCTCTATCAGGGTTTTAGCGACTGTGTGTGAAGAGCGGCGAGTGCCCTGCACTGGTGTTCTTCTTGATCCACAGATCTCTTTGCTTTGTCTGGGATTAGATTCAGACTGGAGTCTGACAGATTTATCTGGTGGCTGATAAACAGAGCAGTATCTGCCTGGTGTAAGGAGTGAGAGAAACTGATGTGACATTTGTCGTCTGCAGAGGGAGAAAGATTTGTACGCATTAGCTTTGAATAAGAGTGTTAACCTCTGTAGACCTCTGTTGTCTCTGTCTCTTTAAGGATGACACGTGATTTAAGGTGGAATTTAAGATGGGTTCAGTATCTTATAGCTTCTAGGGTATAGCTATGTGATTAAAAAAACATCCTTAAATCTAAAGAACAGATGAAACTTAATTCAACAAATGTTTAAACAGTAGATGTGACGTTTGACATAGTTTTTATGACTGGTCCAAACTACATGGATTTACATCCGTCTTTTCCGACTGCATAGATTGCAATATCCGATAACTGACTTTCATCAAAATGTCCCTTTAAGAACAGATTCAAGTGTGTGTTTGTGTTAATTACAGGCTTCTTCTCTGTGTTCTCGGCTGATTTGTTTGGTATCAGTGTCACAGTCGTCCTTTGGTGTGTGATCTTTCACTCAAACCCAACACCTGCCGGAGGAAACGGGAATTTATAAAAACAAAACCATTTGATGTGACTTCAGAGGAAAAGGCTGTGATTACTTTAATGACTAGGTGTTTTTTATGTCACCCTACACTGCGTATCCTGTTTTTTTTTGTGTGTGTGTCTGTGCGTGTGTTGGAGTTTGTTATAAACAGCTGATTTTTTTTTACACCTTTTAATTTCTTTTAAAAACATTATTATGATTCTTGTGTCTCCTAAAAGCAGCTTTACTGCAGTCATTGTGTATTTTCATTTAAATACTCGACAAAAACTAAATGTAGTTTTAACATTTAAACCATTTAAGTTTTAATGGATTAAAACAAATGTGTTTATGACATATAAATAATTAGTTTTACTCAACCTGATAATCGATTGATAAAGAAGAAAATCTTTTTTAGAGTTGAATTACAGATTCAGCTAATGCTAAACAGCTTTTCATATATAACGTAATTGTTTTCATGTTAAAACTCTTAAACATCCCTTGTTCGACTCAGAGTTGAGTTCTTGTGTGGTGTATTTCAGCCTGTAACTGTCACCGCCACTCATTCGACTGTTACTACGACCCTGAAGTCGATGAGCGCAGGGGCAGCGTGGACATCCACGGACATCACCGAGGAGGAGGAGTCTGCCTCAACTGTCAGGTAAGGCTTCTCCCAGCTGTGGGAACCTTAATAGGGAAATGTTAAATGAAAACCTCAGGGCATTTCATTGTTTTACCAGGGTTTTTAGATTGATAAGATTGACATAGAGTTATTTATATACACTAAAGCAGATTGTGTTGTATGTAAGCAGTTTATCCTTTGAGTTACTGGCGCCATGTGCGTGGTTATGTGGCATTAGCCTAGCAGTACAATCTAATAATTGGCCACAAGGGGGCACTTTTTATTTCTATTTATCGTTTCTTAAATAGTATTAATATAGTTGGTGTAGCTTTACGTGTATTTATACAGATTTCTTTTGCCAAATGTTTAACCTTGTATTTTGAATATGTGTATATAGTAATTATTGTAATTCACTTTCACCGAACACAATTGTGATAGCACCCAATCCACGGTAGACATTTAGATGTTTTTAGGACGTTTACGTGAGTTAGCAGTTAGCACAGCCGAGCCTCGTTTATCAAACGGAAGCGGTTTTTTTCTCACCTGCGTTTGCTTTGAAATGTGAGTTGACGAATTTTATAAACAGCATGAGTGTATGTTATCTGATGTTGACGGTTCTTAATACAAAAAATACTTCTACATTTTTTTGTACCGAAAATGTACCTTAATTTATATTACATATAAATAATATATACATGAACAAACGTGTCCATACCTTTGAATATGTTCATATTAGATATAGTAATAATATTTATTTACACTTTTTTATTATTTATAATTGGCTGTCTCCTACTATAATAAACAACAGTGTATGTGTTTTGAATGACAATAAAGATAGTTTCTGTCATTTTGGTTGATTTTCTGAAGTGTATTACTGTATTCTTCACAGCACCACACCACTGGCATCAACTGTGAGCGCTGCATCCCCACCTACTACAGGTCACCTGACCACAGCATTGACTCATCTCTGGCCTGTTCTCGTGAGTAACGGTCGTCGTTCACATGTTATGATTTGGAATAAACAGTAAACCAAAGTGTTTGTGAATTCACTGCGTGCTCCCGTCTTCTCCACAGCCTGTGACTGTCAGTCAGAGTTCACAGACGGCACCTGTGAAGATCTGACCGGTCGTTGCTTCTGCAAACCAAACTACAGTGGGGAGAACTGTGACTCCTGCGCCAGCGGGTTCATCAACTTCCCTGAATGTTACCGTGAGTTAAAACAATGAACCATAAACAAACCCCTTTTTTTTAACACACAGTAATTTAATTTTAATGTGTTTTTTATTTCTCTCCACCAGCTGCTCCTACTTATCCAACTAACAACAATGGCGAGGCAAAACCAGCAGGAGAGATCATCAGTGAGACCCTCATTTCTATCTCCCCTGTCACATTTTCCCACGTAGTTCTTTCTGCTGTTGATGCTTTTGTTAAGAACTGATAAGACGTTCTTGAGAATTCTATAATTTTGAGTTGAATGTGAGAGCAGTGTGCCAATAATTCAACATTTTAATTAGGATGATTACGGAGTTAATTTTCACATATAGTGTGTAGACAATATAGAACAACAGTGAAGTGATATTTTGTCCAATTCACCATTTGTATGTTTTTTTTCTCTCTTTCCTCTTCAGACTGTGAGTGCAGCGCCGCAGGGACTGTGGACAACTCCTGCAGGCCTGACCCGAGAACTCGAACCTGTGTCTGTAAACCAGGTTTCACTGGTGACCACTGTGACACCTGTGCTCCAGGATTCCATGGACTCAACTGTCAGGGTATGTGGTGAACTGAATTAAAATATATTTTAGTTCTGTGAATATTTGTTCTCAATTATTTGTTAAATAATCAATTGTGTAACCAATCAAATCCCTCCTTAGCTAATCTAATCTAATCTAATCAGGACTCTAATCCTAGCTCTAAACTAAATATCACTTTGGTGGGACCTTCAGTAGTCCCCCCCTAACAACCATAATAGTATTTTCCCAAAACAGTGTCCTTGAAAATATAGATACACCAAGACATCTCATACACACACACATATACATGTGTGTATATACCCATACACACACAGACAGAATACAGATGCACAGACAGGAATTTTAGGCACTTTATTTATCTGTTTATTTGTCCTGTTAACTTCCCATCCAAGGGTAAGCACATTAGCACGCACACACACACTGCTATGTAAACAGCATTCCACATGGACGTGTGAATCAGTGTGACCCGTTCTCCTTAAGCACCTCTGTCCTTCTGTCAGTGACTAATATAGACACAGACATCTTTAAAATGCTTCCTGTAAACTGGAAAAATACACAGAGTCATTTACGAGTGTACATTCTCTTGTGTGTTTTGTTGGTTCTTCTTTCAGCATGCCAATGTTCAGGCCCCGGCTGTCTGGACGGGTCATGTGACTTTGTGACAGGTCACGGTGTGTGTCGAAGTGGTTTCCAGGGTTACGAGTGTGATCAGTGTGCACCAGGCTACTTCAACTACCCACTCTGTCAATGTGAGTCCTAATGACGTCTCAGATTAATTTGCATTTAGTAAGAAAGAATACACACCACTAACCCAATACACACTATTGTTTGACTTAAAACAAGTGTGTTTGGACTTTTTTTTTTTCATACTGAAGTAATGACTGTTTCTCTTCATCTACAGTGTGTGGTTGCAGTTCGGTCGGTTCTCTCCCTGAAATCTGTAATTCAACTGGACACTGTGTGTGTAAACCAGAGTTTCAGGGACCTCGGTGTGAACAGTGCAGATCTGGATTCCACTCCTACCCCAACTGTCAAGGTCCTCACCCTAACTCAAATCTAACCCCAATTCATATTCTAATTCCAAACTACATGTTGGACCTAAAAATACACTTTCACTGCTGGTGCCAGTCCCCACAAGCACAGCCAATATGGTGTATACACACCCTCACATAGACACAGACAACAAATCAAACATGAAGCTTCATGGAAAAACTCACATGGTAATATTGAACTTTACAGTGTGCACCTGTGACCCTCGCACCTCGTTGGACACCAGCTGCACTGCGTCAGGTCACTGCCACTGTCGGCCCAGTTACAGCGGAGCCTCATGTGAGCAGTGTGCTCCTGGTTATTATGGTTACCCAACCTGCACACGTAAGTTCTACCTCATACACTGGCTTAATGAACCTTAGTTGAGCAGTAAAGTAAAACGGTAACCCGACTTTGCATCTTAAATCTCACACATTTTTAAAGTAAAACAGTAACCCAACTTTGCATCTTAAATCTCACACATTTTAAGGAGTGCACATGTTTGAGTTAAAACAGTCAAATTAACATTTAATGTAAATTAAATTCTGTGTGTGTGTGTGTTGCAGCCTGCCAGTGTTCTGCAGAAGGATCACGATACACCAGCTGTGACCAGGTGACGGGTCACTGTGTGTGTCTGCCCCATGTGGTTGGACAGAGGTGTGACAGCTGTGCACATGGAGCTTACGGCTTCCCCAACTGCCAGAGTAATCACACTCACACACATTCAAACACACAAAACGACACACAAACCACCATGCCCCTCACAACTGACTGGTGATCTGATCTCCATTTTCTCTTTACATGTGAAGCTGGTACCTGTCATCCAGCTGGTTCTGTCCAGTATGTGGTACCACCTCCACTGGTAAGTACACCTTTAAATATTTCCTTTCCTATTCAACAAAGGGAAAATATCAAATATAGCATTACAGTGAAGTTCCATAGACATTAAAAATGTTAGACAAATAGATGAACTTTTTTATTTTGTCATTCAGGGCCAGTGTGAGTGCCGTCAGCATGTGGAGGGTCCAGCCTGTGACAGATGTAAACCTCTGTACTGGAACCTCTCTCCTGACTCTCCTGATGGATGCACCAGTGAGATATACTTTAAACACAACAACATGTGCTTACACTGTGCCCCAGAATCACTGCAGTACAATATCTAATGCTTGTGATTTCTCTCTGACTTACAGACTGTGAATGCCACATTGCTGGGACTCTGAGTGGTGTTGCAGAGTGTGCACAGGAAACTGGTCAGTGTCACTGTAAACCAAACGCCTGCAGTGGAACGTGCTCCACCTGTAAGGATGGCTACTACAACCTGCAGGAGCAAAGTTACTTTGGCTGCCAGGGTCAGTATCTGTCTGTACACACTCAAAAACACACAAATTTTACTAGGTTTTTAACATCTGTATTGACATCTCTCAGGATGCCAGTGCGACATCGGGGGCTCTGCAGGCCAGTCCTGTGGAGAAAGGAACGGACGCTGTCGCTGCAGACCCAACATAGAGGGCGCTAAGTGCAACCTGTGAGTTGTGAGCTCTTTCCAAACATTTCTTGTATTTATTCAGTTAAAATAAACTAACATTTCTTGTATTTATTCAGTTAAAAAACAAAGTGAATTTCATCATGTTTCATCCAACTGAACGTCATAAACTGAACTGACTTCTCCTGCAGACCTCGTCCTGACCATTTCTTCCCAGACCTCCATCATATGAAGTTTGAAATCGAGGAAGGAACCATGCTGGACGGCCGACCAGTGCGATTTGGTTACAACCCTCTGGAGTTTAAGGACTTCAGCTGGAGGGGTTACGCCCAGATGACCCCCATCCAGGTAGGAACATTTGTCAACTTTTGTCTTTTAATGTATTAAAAGAATATTTTTAGTATACTTTTTTTAACTAATGTTTTGTAATAGAGTTAAATATATTTTTCAGTCAAGGTAATTTTACAGATTAGTTTCAACCTGTTATTTAATGTCAAACACATAAAGTCAAATATGTTCTGCTGTTTGTGTTTATGATAATATCCAGCTGTGGCTCATCGTATTGATACTCCTGCGTGTTCTATTCACAGTGTTTCATGTTACAATTTTAAAACCCTTCAGCTGAAAACCATCACCTTTCATAGGGATATTTCTCTTTGGTTAAATGACTTCCAGCACAATTAGAATCATCCATAAAGAACGCGGGTCTCAAACTCTAATATTACTCTAATTATTATTAACATCTCCTTTCGGGCCAGATGTGAGAGATTTGCCGGCTGGAAGTGGCCCCTGGGCCATAGGTTTGAAATCAAAACAATATTTAATCACTTCTCAGAAGTGTTTGTGCCATCAAGACAAATTCTAAAGAGAAATACCTTCTGCTTCGGGTGCTGTTGGTGATGGTTCTGTTCCTCATGGCCTTTTGTCTTTCTTGGTGTTTTTATAAACTTTAAGTCTGTTCCTCATGGCCTTGTGTCTTTCTTGGTGTTTTTATAAACTTTCCTTTCTTTTTCTTTTTCCACTCTGATCCAACACTGTTATTCTTCTCTTTTCCCAATCCTGGCTCCTTCTGGTCTTTGGGCAGTCCAAAGTTCTGGTGTCGGTGTCAGTCACCTCGCCTGATCTTTTCCGAGTGGTGCTGCGTTACGTCAGCTGGCGTGGTGTGAATGTTTGGGGCAGGGTGTCGGTCGTAGAAGACGACGGGCGCCACCGCTGTGGTAAATGTAAGTGCTGCACTGGGATGATCTGACCTGTCATACCTTTTTTTCCTAGGATAAAAAGGGTTGGAGAATAAGAACTATCTGTTTCCTCCTGTCAGATGACAGATGCGACACAGTCAGTGTTGGTGTTGGTCAGTGTTTTTGATCAACTGGTGGTGGTGACCCTTCAGCTCTCACTCTCCCTTCACTCACCCTCTAGAGCCACAGATTAGGAGTTACATTTGGAAATTAAAAGACTAAGGAAATTATTTTTTTCATATCCTTCCAACATCCACTTCCCTTCCTCCCCCTCCTCGTCCTCCTCATCCAATAATCCTCTCCCGACCCTGACCCTGAAGACTGCAGTGAAGCTGCAGATTCATGTGAGCGAGGTAGACGTCTATCTGACCCGTTTCATCCTCAGATATGTAAATCCTGAGGGCGCCACCTCCAGTGGTAAAATAACAGCCTATCAGATGAACCGCAGAGGTAGGTATCCACCAATCACAGTGGAAGAGAATATACCCTAAATAATACAATATATTGCCATGTATAAATTCCATAATAAAAATCTCTGAAAAATGTCAATCACTCCTTGTTGAATCCATGTTGAAAATAAATGTTTTTGTTTATTTACTTTTTTCTATGACATTCATTTACAGTAATTTTTCAATTTCCTTCTGAGTTTGGTTCTTTTGATTTTTCTACAGTGATGTTTGTGTTTTCTCTGAACACTTTCCAGGTTCAGAACAGTCTAAACAGATCGTCTTTGCTCCGAGTGTGGAGCCCACTTTTGTCAACGTTCCACAGAATAATTTTGTGGAACCGTTTGTCCTGAACCCTGGAACCTGGACAGTGGTTATTGAGGCTGAGGGGATCCTGCTGGTGAGACAGATTATATGTTTATAGAATGGCTGTCAGTCAACATTGGTCTTAATGGTGACACCCTCCTGACTGTTGTCATGTTCTGCTCTGACCTTTAGGATTATTTAGTGCTGCTTCCCAGTTCCTACTATGAGGCTCCCATCCTGCAGATCCGGGTCACTGAGCCCTGCACCTACAGCCCTGTACCTGATGCCAACCAAAAGTACGCACAGTGAAATATTTTGGAAAAAAAAGGAAAAAGACTGAAGAGTTGTTTTGTCTTCAACCTGCCTTCTCTGAGATCAGTCTGTGTGTCTGTAGCTGTCTGCTGTACAGGTATCTCTCTCTGGACTCCTTCCCTTCCATCTCTGGCAACGATGCCAGCTGCCGTAGTGACAACCACCTGCCACGACCCTGCCCAACTGAGAAGGTCACTCCACGCCACCCTGACATGGCCGTCTGCAGTGGCTATGATGTAAGAGAGTCATGTCCTGTCATGAACAGATGATATGAACTGGAGAACAATCCAAATTTCAACTGTTTCAACTTTCTGCTGCAGATTAGCATCGAGCTGCAGACTCGTCTGACCTCCCCGGGGGATTATGCTTTGGTAGTAGAATATTCTAGTGAAGAGGAACTTCCACAGACACTGTCTGTAGTGATTAATATGCCAGGATCACGGACACACCAGCACCTGGTCACTCTGCTGCACTGCAAATACAGGTGAACACATTGTCTGCTTTGATAATAAAAGATTTAGTTTTATGTTCCCCTTTATTGAGGTTCTAGAAAGAATAAATAAAAAAACAAATACATGGTGTGTAAAATTTAAAAAAGAAATTTAATGCTCAACATGCCTTTTTATTTGAAATTTTTTTATACATTGAAACAACATGGAAACAGACTGAAGAGAATCTGGTCCTCGTCTGTGTGGACTCAGCTGCTTCGCAGTTTACTGCCACTCTGCTTCATCTAATATGTCAACAGGTCTTAATCACTGCTTGTGTGTACGCCTGTGTGTGTGTGTGTGTGACATTATTAAAAAGTACACACTCTTCTTCTTCTCGTGTAATCTCTGTGAATCCAAGTGCGTCGGGGTGGTAGGATTCTGGGCCTTGTGTGTAAAAGGGTCTCAGGTTTGATTCAGACTGGGTTCCATCAGGAAGTGTATTAAGTGCCGCTGGACTCTTTATTATTGATTGTCTGGGTGTGTGTTGTTGCAGTATTATTGATTGTCTGGGTGTGTGTTGTCTCCTGTCTACAGTGTGTGGCTGGAGTTAACTCCTGCTTTTTGTTTTCTGCAGCACAAACTCTATCTGGTTCCCAGAGACCAGTTTACAATGGAGTACATTGAACCCAAAGTCCACTGCATCAACTCTCATGGACAGTTCTCTCCTGACAGGTACAGTGGCACAGATCCACACCTCAGAAGTGACCTATTTCCTGTTAAAGCCTCCATCCCTAACGACCATTGTCTTTGTTGTTACCACAGTTCCTCCTGTGCCCCCTCACGATTCCAGACACCGTCAGACTCTCTAGTACTGAAGGACGGACAGAGCTCTTCCACCCAGGAGCAGGTTTTGACCTTCCCTGCTGTAGCTTCTCCTCTGCCGCCCTACCAGAAAGAGTCATCTTGGAGTGAGGGAGTGCGACCACCGTTTGGAGCAGACACCAGTGACCACATCAGGCTGGACTCAGTGCAGGTACAAAGGGACTGAAAGTGAAACTGTATTTTTCATTGTTCTGTCCTGTGTCACATCAGAACCTTGTGTCCATCTTGTCTGTTGTCTGGTTCCTTCAGAATGCAGCAGTGTTCTCCACACGGGTCCACACCTTGGGTCGCTACGTCTTCATTCTCCACTACCATCAGCCTTCCCACCCCACATACCCTGTTCAGGTCTACATCAACGGAGGACGAATCTGGCAAGGTACCAACACTAACCAAACAAATATTACTAGATATTTTAGGTGACCCCATTTGAATTCCAGGCCATTTTTGGTGGTGACCCCAAGTTTGAACAACATTGCCTTGGCCATTTAGAAATATAGATAGAACATTAATTTCATTTATTCTTTTATTTTACTTCCTGCTTCAGGTCACGCCAACGCTTCCTTCTGTCCTCACGCTTATGGCTGCCGTGACGTCCTCATCTCTGAGAACCAGATCATTCTGGATGTGACTGACCACGAGGTGTTCGTCACGGTGCAGATACCTATAGGCAAGACCCTGTGGCTGGTGAGTTTAACTGCCTTATTACTTTTCTTTTTGTGTTCTGACTTGTATTCTGACAAACTGATATTTCTGGGGCTACAATAAAAATTTGCACATTGATTGAATTGAATAGAGCTGTTAAGAGGGAAAAACAGCTCCATACACTGACCACTCTAATGAAATGATGGTGTCCATCTCTGAACAGGATTATGTTCTGGTTGTGCCTGAGTCCAGCTACAGCTCTAACCACCTGAACGAGGAGCCCATGGACAAATCGTATGATTTTATCAGCAACTGTGGTCAAAACAGCTTCCACCTCAAGTTAGTGTCTGTGCTGTATTATTCAAACACGTGAGTCATTCTGTTTGTCAAGTTTATTAAAGCTGTCTTCTGTCTTTGCTCCATTAGTTCTGCCACTGCCTCTAAGTTCTGCCTCAGCTCAGCCGTGTCTCTGTCAGCGTTCTTTAATAACGGAGCGCTGCCATGCGCTTGTCACGAGGTTGGAGCTGAGAGCGACACCTGTGAAAGCTTCGGTGGTCAGTGCCGCTGCAGACCTAACGTGATTGGTCGAGACTGCTCCATGTGCGCCACAGGCCACTGGGGTTTCCCCAACTGCAGACGTGAGTTTCTGATTCAACTGAGGACATTCTTAGTCCTAAAATATTGAACAAAGGAAGCCTTTGGAACAAGAGGTGAAATGTCTTCAAAAAATTTGCCTTCTTCTAAATCCTTCTGGTTGATGCTTGAATATCTCTGTTCTGCAGCCTGTAACTGTGGCACAAGATTGTGTGAACCAGTGACCGGGGACTGTATCTGCCCCCCGAGGACGCTGCGCCCTGAGTGCATCGAATGTGAACCCCAGGCGTTCGGCTGCCACCCGCTCGTGGGCTGTGAGATCTGTAACTGCTCTCGGCCTGGAGTCGTCTCCACTGAAACCAGCTGTGACACTCTCAGTGGACAGTGCAGGTAGGGATTCTTCACCTTCATATTTAGTTTCACCTTCAGCAGTTTCAGCAGATGGTACAGTCCGTCTAAACTAAAAGATGAAATTCAGCCTCTTAACCTTTATGTCATAGTTTTATTTGTTTTTTTATATTGTTCAGAATCCATCAAACTACTCTCTGCTTCCCACACTTCCACCGATGTGTGATTTAACAAGCCGGGCTCTCAAATGTCAGACCTCTGTTTGAAAATACCTAAAAAGGCAGTTAATCTCGCTCTTCTTTGTATCCTGACATGGTCTTGGCCTCGGTTCTAACTCGGGGTTGATTGCCCCTGTGTTTGGCCAGCTGTACTTGCCAACTCTTGCTCTCTGCATTTAGCAGAAGCTGCGTTGAGTTTGAAGCACGCTCTTTCAGTCAGATCTGGGTTTTATTGACGACTGCCAACAGCCCAGCAGCTGTCATTCCTCGTTCTCATCTGTCTGCCGCCGTTTATTTTCTTTGAAAGTTGTCGTATCATGATAACTGCCTCATCTTATACTGGTTTTTTGAAGCAACAGAAACCTACAAATTATTGCAGTATCTCTAAAAAAATGCCAGGAATCAAGTGTTGAGTAGCGCACATTCATCAAACATGTCACAGAAGCATACATTTTCTCATGGTCTTATCAAGGGTGATTTATTTTTTCAGTTTTGACTTCCAAATGTAACAGTTGTAACATTTTTACATTGAATACATGGAGAAAATCAGAATAACCACAGATGGTTTTGTTGTATTGTTCTAATTGCAGCGGGTTTTACTGGAAGTTAAATAAAATAGATCATCAGTCAAAATTAGTTTGTTTTTTTTACCCTCATTTAGGATTTAAATAATTTCGATATTTTTAATTAAAGGAAAGGTTTTCATGTTTGTTTAGTTTTTTCTGTTAGCTTTGAGCATGTAGCATCACTGATAAATATTGAAACTTGTCTTGGCTTCTTCTTTAGTTTTCTGTTGCGCACTGATAAATATTGAAACTTGGCTTCTTCTTTAGTTTTCTGTTGCTGTCTGTGATTACTTCACAATTGGGTTCTGACAACTGGGGAACTCACACACACACACACTCACACACACACACAGAGTGAGGAATGCCTTTGCTTTGTCCTGACAAGACTCGGATGTAAAGCTAGAAGTGTTTTACTGCTTCAGGACATTTTCTTATTTAGGGTTTAGCATTAGGAACACAGGAAGACAAACACACTGAAAGTAAAGTCCTCATAAAGGTGTTTTTGTTTTGTACAGATGTAGGAACAACATTGTCGGACGTCAGTGTGACCGCTGTGCCCCCGGTTTCTATGGTTACCCCAACTGCAGACCATGTGACTGCAATGAGGCAGGAACTGAAGAGGAAGTGTGTGACTCCTTCACAGGGCAATGTCTCTGCAAGGTAGGAAACAAACACACAGGGACATGAAGACAGACCTCTGAACCTATTATGTGTCCTCACCTGCTGTGTCCCCGTCCCCCCCGTGCAGGAGAACGTCCAGGGCACTCACTGTGATCAGTGCAGAGTTGGTACGTTCCACCTAGACCCAACCAACCCCAAAGGCTGCACCAGTTGCTTCTGCTTTGGAGCAATTGATCGCTGTCGAAGCTCTGACAAAAGACGCACTGAGGTATAAATTATCTGGTGTTGACACATGAACAACACTCAACTCACTCTGAATAGCAGTTTTATGTGTAAGGTGTTACAACTTTGAGTTTAAGAAATGGTTTTAAAGACATTTTATTGTCAAATAATGTATCATCAAATGTAATCATTTGACAACCCTACTTTCCTCTAGGTCATGAACATGGAGGGCTGGGTGCTGCTGGGAGCTGACAGACAGGAAGTGCCAGTGACTGTGTATCCCGGTCAGGATCTTGTAGAGGCGGACCTCAGTGATGTGCCTGATGTTTACCAGGACCTCCACTGGTTCGCACCCAAGACTTACCTGGGAGACAAGGTAGGACATTTAACTCGATATTTATGTAACGTTTTTGTTAAAATTACAGCATGAGAAGATAATGTAGAACAAACAAAAGAAAGTATCTTTTAATGTTATATGGAAAGTATCTAAAAATGCACACAGATATTATTAATATTTCCATTAAACATAACGCCTGGTATACAGTATGCTGCAATAAGAATTGATCTGTCAGGTTTCTTCTTCTTGCCTTAGCAACAATTAAAACAAATCTGTCAGTGATCTTTTATCCACAGCTCAGGCACAGACAGGGTGATTGGGTGACAAATTATAGACAGATAGACAGACAGATAAATTGCAGTAAAGCATTTAAATGGTCAGTTGCATTAGCCTGTAGTGGGCGGTGGGTACTCCCAGTCAGACACCAGACAGTCCTTTAAACCACTTCAAACGTCGGCTCTGCCATAACCTGCATGAGTTTTGCCAGGTTCAGGCATTTTATCTTGGATGGATTGTCTTTCATGGGTAATTCACGGGCCTGGGATCTTGTTTCTTGTTTTTGTTTCACTGTACAATGAATATGATTCATTCTTGTCTGGATTAAAAGCAATAGTCTGAGATTAAAGGTCTTTGTGGTTTTACTGTCTGTCTGGGTTTTTTTATTGTGTGTGTTTGTGTGTAGAACTATCTCCCTTAAAATGATCTCCTCTCCTCCAGGTCTCATCCTATGGGGGTTATCTGAGGTATCGACTTCACACTCAAACCATGAGAGGTGATGTGTTGTCTCTGCCTGCAGAAGCCTCCAGGCCTGACATCATTCTCAAGGTGCAAAGCACACACACACACACACACACACATAGGTCAACATTCAAACCAGCATTCAAAGACATACACAGACCTGCACAGACTCATTCTAATCCAGCATAAAGAGAGAATTATGTATGTTTTGCCAAAACTCTGTCTCATACACATTCCTTGTAATATATATGACTTAAAAAGCCATTCCTGTTTTTTTTCTCCTCTTGAAGGGAAACCAAATGACCCTGGTGTTCATGGAGAGAGAGTACGCCTCTCCCGACGAGCCTCACCTTGGAATCGTTCACCTGGTCGAGGTAAACTCATCTTTTCCTTCCATGCTTCAAAAGGCCAGAGATTTATGTCAGATGGTGTCTTTTGTCAGGATAACATCATCAGGCTGGTGTCAACTTGTTGTATTTGCCAACATTTTTTAACCAGGTTGTTGCTGCTGCATTTTCATTTTTTTTCATACAGGAAAGGAACTCCTTTTATCCCAGACATTTCAGCAGTGTCTACTGTAGCCTGCTGTAATAAAGTATCAAATAACCGTCAGGGTTTTCTACTTTGTTTCACCCTCTCGCTCCAAAGTTTACACTCTCCTTTATACTTGTACTTGTTGCTAGTTCTGATATGATCATTTATTTAAAATCAGTAGAATAAAAAGGAGCACATATAGTAATGATATGTGGAAATTTGCTTTCATAGTCATCAAAGACCATTAATAAATCTATTTTTTTTTATTCGTAGAGTTCTGGAATTACAAAAAACCTTTTGAAACTCTTGAAAAAATTAAGTAAAAAAGAAGCAGACACAAAAAACCTTTTGAAAAAAATTAAGTAAAAAAGAAGCAGACAGTAATCCTCCTCTCCTCCTCTCTTCTTCTCACAGGGCAGCTTCCGTCACGCTCAGACCGGAAACTCTGTGTCTCGAGAGGAGCTGATGATGGTGCTGGTGGCGCTGGAGTCCCTGCAGATCCGAGCCATCCACTCGCAGTTGGCTCACTCCGTGTCGCTCCGTGGTGCTGTGCTAGAGGGCGCTGAGAACCTTCCCTCTGGTCGTCACGCCAACAACGTGGAGATCTGCATGTGTCCCGCCAACTACATTGGAGACTCGTGTCAGGTGAGGACACTGATGGTGTAGCATTTTCTACTGAGCGTCTCAGGGCACATTCATTAGGCCGTATGGAGTTTTAGAGATTTGAATGTTTTGTCAGGTACTAACTGTTCTGACTTTCTTCCTCATTGTAATGATATTTACCAAAAACAACATACAAAAAATCACAAAAAATCATCAGCAGCATGTGAAAGTGAAATTCTCACGCCTGTTTCTCTCCACTCTGCAGAAATGTGCTCCTGGTTTCTACAGAGACACCATCGGCCTGTTCCTGGGAAAATGTGTTCCCTGTAACTGTAACGGTCACTCTGAACAATGTCTGGACGGATCTGGAATCTGTGTGGTGAGGGTCTTTGTTGTTGGAAACCCCCTCACTCTGTGTCTGAATTTTGATTTCCTAGTTTGTTGACATCCCATTTGTGTCTATGTCCATCAGAACTGTCAACACAACACAGCAGGCGACCACTGTGAGACGTGTCAGGGTGGTTTCCTTGGCAACAACAGCGTTGACGGAGAGGCAGTATCTTGCTCCAGTTGTCCTTGTCCACTCAGGGTCCCCTCCAACAAGTCAGTGCAAACAATTATTTTTTATATTTTATCTTTCTCACTTTTTCAATCCCACTTTGATGACTGTGCCTCTTCTATGCCTCAGTTTTGCCGAGGGTTGTTTGCAGAGAACTGACAAGATGCAGTGTCTGTGTATGCCTGGATATGCTGGACCGCACTGTGAGAGGTGACCTGAGTCTAAGAACAGAGAAACATTTGAACTTAATGAACAATTTCTGCTGCTGAGGTTACATTCACTCAACAATTTTCTGCGTCTCTCTTCCACAGGTGTGCTCCTGGTTTCTATGGAAACCCCATGGTTCTGGGCAGCAGGTGTCAGCCGTGTGACTGCCACGACAACACCGATCCCAACATGCTCTTCACCGACTGTCATCCCTTGACCGGAGAGTGTCTGAGCTGCATGCACAACACAGCCGGACGGCACTGTGAGATCTGTGCTCCTGGTTACTACGGTGACGCCGTCGCTGCCAAAAACTGCACCAGTGAGTTCAAACACAGGCCACTGTCATACATCTGATTAAGTACTTCTTTGATTACTATTTCATACATTCAGGTGATAATGAATAGTTAAGTAAAAAATGTAACAAAAGAAAAAAAGAAAAATATAAGTTTTGTTTTCATCACCCAGAATGTGACTGTTCTCCTTGTGGCACCGAGTCATGTGATCCTCACACTGGACAGTGTCGATGCAAACCAGGGGTCACTGGACCACGCTGTGATCGCTGTGAGGTAGAACTTTCTTTTTTTATTATTTGTTTGTTTTATAGCCAGTAAAAGTTTGTTTTCTTTTCTGAATCTTACATTATCCTCTACAGTAAATACAAACACCTGTTAGATTTTTTTCATTGCATGTTTTTTTTTTCTCACTGTAGTGTAAAATTCAGCAGTTCTATGATAACAGTTATTTTTAGACCTGGTGGCCAGTGGTGTTAAAACAGATGGTCCTCTCTGGTGCCAGATGCAGGGACATAAAAAAACACATAAAAGTATTCATAAAAGTATTAAGTAACTGTATTTTTACTCATCAGTAAAGTAAAATGTTCCAAAAACCAAGTGATGGTTGTTTCCAACACTGACTTGTTTGGTTTGGTTTATTCTCCCAGGACGGCTCCTTTGGCTTTGACTCCTGCTCTGGCTGTCGTCAGTGTGACTGTGAGGCCTCAGCTGCCCTCACTCAGCCCTGTAACCCTCAGAGTGGTCAGTGTGCCTGTCAGCCTGGAGTCAATGGACCTAACTGCAAACAGTGTGCACCTGGATTCTGGGACTATGGACCGAACGGATGCAAGAGTGAGTGAATTTGTAGCCAACACTTTTATTTAGTGACGCTCCGTACGGTCGATGTGAACCCCATTTTGTCTAACATCTGCTAACACCCCCTCCTCCAGAGTGTGGGTGTAGAGGAGGTCGATGTGACCCACGAACAGGGGAGTGTCGCTGCCCAGACGGGATGACTGGAAAACAGTGCGACTCGTGCACACACAAATACAGTGTGGCTGTTGAGGAGCATCACGGCATGCACTGTGAAGGTGAGTTAAATTACACACACACACACACATAAATGTCCCTACAACAATGGATTAATATGTGCGGTGGGAATTAAACCATGACTTTCTTCACCTTTTGCTTCTGCAGTTTGTGACAGCTGCGTCATTGTGCTGTTAGAGGATCTGAACAAGATGAACAAGAACTTCAGCGCTGTGGCCAATCAGCTGAGCAACCTTAATGCCAGCTCCATGGCCTGGGCTCAGCTGAGTGCTCTCAACAAGTCTGTGGAGGAAACAGCTGTGAGCTTCCGTTTTATAATTTTACTAAAAGAACCCTAATAATTCGTTAGGCCTCTTGAGTTCATTCTTTAACCACCAGACACCAGGATGCTCCTGTCACAGTCTTCCATATGACAGATGGAGATACTGCCTTAAAGAGGACAAATAAAAATAAAGAACTCATGCCCCAAAACAGTCTGACTTCAGACACTGGGATTGTTCTTTACCTTGTTCTCGTCTCTTCTTCACAGCGTTCTGTCGAGGACTACAACAAAACCTTGGATGACAACAGGATTCGGGCCAACATGCTGGACACTGAGATCCTAAACCTTAACGAGGACCTTGATGAACTGCAGGACAAGGTGAAGTCAATGCTCACATAAGAACTCTGTCAATTTTAGTGGTTGCGAGCACAGGTCTACATCACAGAGACCCACAATAAATGAAGCAATCAATAAAGTTCTGATAAAAATGATATATCCATTCACAACTTTCATACAATTAGCACAGAGCCATAGTTATTTTTCACCAAGAACCTTTTCTGTCTTGATGTTTTCAGGCAGCAGTGATGAACAACAGGGTTGACAACCTGAACAATAGTACTACAAACACACACCAGAGGGCGCTGGACCTGCTGCAGTTCGTCACAAACCTGACACTGGATATCAACGGTAACAAACTACGACGACCATCGTCGTATTTGACTTGAGAAAATCTTGAGAGAATGTTAAAATGCTGCGGATATTTGTTTCTTAAACATACAAGTGTCTTATCCCAAAATACAAGGTGAATGACTCCTGGTGGTTTTTTATGACCTTTTCCCCAGATTTCCTCAACATGGCGAACAAGTCACTGATGAATGACACAGATGTAGATCAGGATGACGACGAAAGGGAGAATAAATTTAGGGAGGTGCAGACCATGCTGAGGGAGATGAGGTACAGGAGCTGTGTGGGTCAGATGGACATGGCTGAAAAAGAGAAGACAGAGGCAGAAAAATGTAAGAGAACACAGAACACGTCCTACAGATTACATATGACACAGAGTGATTAAAATCCTATGAACACATTAAACTAGTGTCAAATTGATTGGTTTTCACTTCTTCTTCCCTCAGTGTTGAACCGGATTAAAGATGAGCTGGTCAGTCGTCAGAATGAAAACAAAGATGTGGCCAAGACCATCAAAGATCGTCTGACTCGCTTCCACTCTGAAATGATGGACCTGCGAGACGCCCTGAATGAAGCAGTGAAAAACACGGCCAAAGCAGGAGAACTCAATAACATCAATGAGAAATCTCTGGAGGACAACAAGGTGAGCTGAGGATTTATCTCATCACTGAAGAGCAGGTGGATGACAGGGAGCCAAACCTGATTTCTGTTTTTCTCCCTGCTCAGAGGAGACTGGACGACCTGCTGGCCAAACAGAGGGAGGTCTACGATCAGTTAGACATGGCTGAGGATGACGTAGCTCAGGTCAATGATCTGCTGTCCATGCTGCAAGATGCCAAAGAGGTGAGAACTACACAACCATTCAGACTTTGCAGTTCTGTTTTATTTGTGCTGTAATGTTTCCATTGTGATGTTCTTCAGGACTACGAGCGTCTGTCAGCTCAGCTGGACGGCGCCAGGACACCACTGGCAAAGAAGGTGAAGGACTTTGGTTGGACTGAATCCAAGATCCCACTGGTGGAGCAGGCGGAGAAACATGCTGAGCTGCTGGACGCTTTAGCCATGAACTTGACCAGGTGAACACGGGCAATTTTTTGTTAAATAAAGTCATTTAAACACGCATTCACTGTGTTTTTTTTTTTTGACTCACGGGCAATTATTTGTTAAATAAAGCCATTTAAACACGCATTCACTGTTTGTTTGTTTTTCAAGCAAAGAGAAAAAAATGACAACATGTCTTTATTTAACTACAGTCTTGTTGCTGAAACTAAAAAAGAAGGAATCGTGGATGTGACTCAAGCCTACAACAAAATTGTCAACAGCATCAGGGAAGCAGAGGAGGCTGCCAAGATGGCCGACAAGGCTGCTAATGACACAATGGAGGTAAAGAGAACAAACACAAACAATATTCTACTCACCGGCCTTCAATCAAGTTTTTCACTTGGACTTTATTGTTGATTATTGTTTGTTTCAGAATATAAAGGATCTGGACCTCGGTCAAATCGCAGATTCTTTGCGGAACCACAGTGTGGAGCTGAAGGATGAAGTGGAGAACTTAAGAGAAGAACTTAATAATGGTAAGTGCACAATTTAGTGTTAGACTATAAGCTTTTTTTAAGTCACATAAACATGCTGAGGATGCATTATTCTTCAGGTCACCAAGGTGATTTTTTTTTTGTGCAAGTATTTTAATTTTATTTTTTTTTTGCTCCACAGAGCTCAAGCCTCAGCTCAAAGATGCTAAAAAACGACTAAATGATGCCAAATCTAAAAAAGACAAGTTGATGAAAGACTTGGAGAAAATTCAGGAGAGCCTCAACCTAACCACAAGTATGGAATTATTTCACACTCCCAGACACAGGGCAAATACTTTTATGGCAATGTTAACAAGTGTTTGTTAATGTTTTATACATTTTTGAAATAAAACAGATGTGACTCAGGAGATCAATGAGGCAAAGAAGGCAGCTGAGCTGGCCAACAGCACGGCCACTCAAGTCAACGATGCCCTGCGTCCAATCAAAGAGCAGCTGGACCTGTGGAAGGGGACCTACGGAGATGCCAACGCCACCAATAATGACATCAACAAGGCACTGATGGAAGCCAACAAGACAGGTGTCACATTAGTCAATATATTTATAAAACTGTTAATGGAAAAGTGACTTGTTGCGGTGTAAACTCTCCAGGTGAATGATTAAATATATCACATTTATCTTTCAGTGCAAGAGCTGGGTACCACTATACCGACTCTGTTAACAAAGCTGGACAGTCTCCAGAATCACTCCTTCCAGATGCCAAACATTTCCGAGAACATCAACAGAATCAGACAACTCATACAGCAGGCCCGCAACGCTGCCAGCAAGGTAGACAAAAAGAAATACTGAAAATATTTTGAACAAGTTTCTTTTACTAACAGTGCTTTTTTTTAAATTTTTCCCGCTCATCCAGGTGAGTGTACCAGTTAAGTTCAACGGAGAGTCTGGAGTCCAGGTCCGCACTCCGCCAAACCTGGCTGACCTCGCTGCATACACCTCCCTGAAGTTGTACGTCACTCTGCCGGAGTCAGCTCGCTCCAGGCGACAGGGCGATGCCACACGACAGTTTGTCTTCTACCTGGGCAACAAGGATGTAAGTGTCAGCAGGGCAGTACCCAGGCCTGATTAGTGTGTTTGGAGTTCCTGCTCCTAGGTGCAGATTTGGCACAACTGCCATAGTTTTAGCTAATTGTTTGTCACTGTGGTGTTTGTAGTCCAGCAAGGAGTTCCTGGGTATGGCTCTGGAGGGGAAGCGTCTGCGCTGGTACTTTAATGTTGGAGGAGATACTGCTGAAGTGCAGATGCCCGAAGACGTCAAGGCCGATGGAAAATTTAACAATGTAGTGATGGAGAGGTGAGGCTCAGGCAAACACTCAATGACAGAGTTTTCTGTTATTTTCATTTCATTCTTTTTGCCCTGACATGACTTTCCCATTTGTCTGAATGCAGGATTCTCCAGTACGGTCAAATGTCCATGTCCTCAGAAACCAAAGAAGGAGACCAGACGGTCACCAAAAGTCTTGTGGAGGCCAGAGGAGATCAGGGCCTGCTCAACCTCCTGACTGATGACACTGTGTTCTACGTTGGAGGTTACCCCAGTACTTTCAAAGTGAGTACTGAAGCGTACTCTGTTACTCTGTACTTTTGTCTTTTGCTATGTGGATGAAGCCAACACAGAGATTTGGTAGAAATACAAACTGTATATTGTCCCATTTATAGTTGTGAAATTTACATTTACATATTTAGAGCTGTGGCTGGCGCCACACAGTGGTGATTGGACAGCAGTAAAGCAGCAGTTCTCAAACATTTTTGCCCCCCCCCCGCCACACAGTGGTGATTGGACAGCGGTAAAGCAGCAGTTCTCAAACATTTTTACGTCCCAACCAGGTTGATGTTTCCGAAATTCCCCGCACCTTTGAAAAAATAAGCAATAAGCTCTCTTATAAAGGCACCATGTTTAAGCATACTGAAGTGACTAGAACACACAAATAACACACGTATAGCCTGCATTTATTTATTTTATTTTATCTAGCGCCCCCTAGTGGCAGTTAAAACACCCCCAAGAGTGCGCACTTTAGGAACCCCTGCTCTAAAGTGATCATAGGTGTGAGTGAGAGTGTGAGTTGTTGTTTGACTCCATCAGTGACTCTGTGATGGACGGTCCCTTTCATTTTCAGCCTCCTGCTGCACTGGCTCTGCCCAACTTTAAGGGCTGCATCGAGCTGGATACACTAAACGAGGAGGTGCTGAGTTTGTACAACTTTGAAAACATCTTCAGTCTGAACACCACAGAGGAGAAACCTTGTGGCAGGTCAGTGTACTGCACTGTAAACATCCCATTCATTATTTATATTCAGTCTAAGTCATTTTTGAAAGAAATTTCTCCTTTTTGTTTCCACTCTGTGAATGACAATGGATAAAAAAAAAAAAAAAAGATCTAAGCCGGTGCTGACTCAGGCCTGGGTGAATGACGCGGCGTTCTTCGATGGTACCGGCTTCGCTGAGGTCATCATCGCTGATGAACCCATTAAGATGCAGCGCTTTGAACAGGAAGTCAAACTGCTCTCACAGAAAGGAATTCTGCTGCTGCTGCAGAACGGGGTAATTCAATATTCCATATGTGCATTCGATGAAATATCAGAAGCTGCAGTAAACCCTAAATACACATTTATATACGACCACATTGTCAGTTTGTCAGTTGACAGTACGTGAAAGCACAGTTTAAGGACTGTATGTCTTGAATTTGTAGATCTTAAATTGAGCATGTAAATCCAGGAATGTTGTGTCTTTGTGTCTCCCCTCCCCAGAATCAGTTCCTGTGTCTGGCAGTGCTACATGGCACACTAAGGGTTTTCTACGATTTCAGTGGTGATCCTAAAGAGGAAGTGGAGCCTAAAGAGCCAGATTCTCAAAAATTGTTGGTCGGCGATGCAGATGCTAAAACTGTAAGTCTGTTTTGTTCTTGTATTTCTTCTAAGTTTTTAATTAAGCGATTGACTTTCAGAACGGTTTTGATGTAAAAATACTTTTAAGTTTAACCATCGCATGCTGTCTGTAGTCAATACACATTGTGTACACCTTTTTTTTTTTTTGTGTTTCTCTCATTTGATTAGGTGGAGCTCATCATCATGCGTTCACCCGCACACCGTATTGTGGTGAGGAGCAACCGCGTCACCCTCTACAGCCACGTGTTTACAGTGAACATCCCAGACTTCAGCGGTATATACCACCTGGGGGGAGTCCCTCAGAGCAAGATGCCAGAGAAGTAAGTGGGACACACATACTGCAGTTGTCTTTTCAGCTCTCATCAGTAATTTCAGTTTTTTGAAGTTAGTCTGATGTCTGTGTTTTCAGGTTGAAGACCTGGTTTCCTAAGCAGGGCTCTCTGAAAGGCTGTTTCAGAAACGTGAAGGCATTAAACTCTCATGTTGACCTGAAAAGAACAAAGAGTTCTGGAGTCAGTTTTGGTTGTCACAGCGACCTTTTGGTGAGAAAATGTGTTTGTTTGTTTTTTTTGTCATTTTCTTAGGAAAACCTACATTTCAGGATCAGTTTTTTTCTTTTTTAACCTGCTTGTTTCCAAACAGGTGGCTCGTGAGGCTCATTTCTCCGGCCAGAGTTACTTGGATTTGGCCGTGTCTGACATTCCAGGTCTCAGGGACAACTTCTACACCAGCTTCAGTTTCAGAACTGACAAGAAGGAAGGACTTATGTTCTACCACCAAGATTCGGTCAGACATGATTTTCTCATTTTATGGAAATATTATTTTTCAGACCAATTTTTTTAATTAAAATTTTTAATTTATATTCTAACAATCAGTGCGATCATTTTTGTTTCTCAGTCAAACCTCTCACTGTTAAATAAATATCTCTCACGTGTCTGATTTTACACCGATTGCTAACTTGTAGCTGTCAATCATGAACAGGACGGCGTCTGCCAGGTGTTTTTGCACGACGGACATGTGGTGGTGAGGGCAGGCAACAGCGAGGTTAAGACGCAGAAGACGTACAACGACGACAACAGCCACTACGTCGCAGTCTACAATAACATCAACGGGTGAGACGGCGCCACTGACATTTACAAACAAAATACAATACAAACAAAACTGCTCGTTGGCTAATGAAAACATTTGAACTGATGCTTCAGGATCCGTCTGTACATGGACGACATGCTGGAGAAATCCAAAGCTAGTATACGTTTGGACACCAGGGGGCGTTCTGTATCAACCACAGGTAGCAGCACCTTCCTGGGGGGAACGCCTGACCAACCTCTGACCAACCTCACCGGCTGTATCAGCAACATTTTCATCAAGAGGTAAGAAAAAGGACACAGGGAGCAAAAAAATAGGCAATAGTTGAGCAGCTTAGAAAGGAAAGAAGACACTTAGAAGAAAAGATAGAATGATATATTATATTTCTACTTCAATACTTCTTTACACCACTTGCTGATCAATTTAAATATACACTTATCCTCTCAACTTCAGGAACACCGATCCTCAGATGGTCCTGAATCTTCTGAAGGTCAAGGAGAACGTCAACGTTCCTCTGAGTTGTCCCGCCGCCTCCAAACCTCAGCAGATTGTTGCTGCTCTGCCCAAACCCAACAGCAAACCCAAGGTAAACTTAGAAAGTCTTTTCTGTTTTTTCTGTTGATGAAGTATCTTAAAAGTGCAGCTAAAAGAAACCGATTAATTCCTCTGTTGTATGTCAAACCTCATATACTTTGTTTTTGTCTGACAACAGGGGAAACACAAGAAGCCATCCGGTTCCCGGAGCCGTAACACCAGGGAGTCCTGTCAGGGCGGGCCCTCGGATCAAGAGGTCGGAGCCACCCACTTCAGTGGCTCCACACACAGCTACCAGAGATACGACTCCCTGCCCAGCTCTCTCAGCTCTATGTTCGTGTCACTGTCACTTTTTCTTTCCGTTGCTGAATCTTAATGATTGTTGTCTTCAGTTGAATCACTGTCTATGTCTGGCTCTCTGCAGGCCTCACATCTCCCTGTCTGTGAGGATCAACTCCTCTGAGGGTTTGCTGCTTCATGCAGCCGGTCAGCACCGGGCCTTCATGTCCCTCAGTGTCTCAGATGGTCACATGCTGCTGCTGCTGGACGGGGGGAAGAGAAAGGTCAGCCTGCGCAGCCGCAAGAAGTACAACGACGATCAGTGGCACACGGTGAGATGACGCTCTTTTTATTTTTTAGTAAGAGCTTTTGCCTGAGGGAAAAAAAATTAAAAGTTGCCTTTATTAACATAACATACAATCTGATTGACTTTATTTTAATGTCACTACCAATCTGTCTGATTGACTTTATTTTAATGTCACTACTAGGTGTTTGTGAAGCGTGAAGGAGAGAAGATGAGTCTGGTTGTGGACGGTATCAGCGCTCAGTCCAAGAGAATTCCTGGAGGAGACAAGACTCGTCTCAAAGAGCCCCTGTACATCGGAGGCGTCCCACCAACGTTGACAGTAAGAACTTCAAACTACAGTATAATTCAAATGTACTTCCACAGTTTGTAGTAAATCAAATATCAATAATAATAAAGATAAGAATTTATAGCAGTTTTAGATTATTTTATGTCAATATATGTCACATTTGACAACGTTAAATAATCAAAAATATAATATTAGTTAATTAATAGTAATAAAATATTGTGTGTTCCTGTCCAATACTACATGACAAACCCATATGCCAATTTACATTGTTTTCATAATCAAATATATAATATTAGTTAATCAATAATAATAATAAAATATTGTATGTTCTTGTCCAATACTACATGAAAAACCCATATGCCAATTTACATTGTTTTATATTACAGATGAGTGATATATTTTATATTGTAAATTGATATTTTCTATTTATTTAACTGCCTTCTTAGAAATACTTAGAAGTTCTCAAAATTCTTCCAGTTCTGCAAAACAGCAGAAACACTGCACACAAAAACAACAACAAAAATGTGGACCAAGGACTCAAATTAATATAAAAACATTTACAGAAATGCCCCATAACATTTAATTAAATTAATTAAAAACCAGTTTGAAAAGTAAAACTGTTTTTTTTCCCAGGCTCCAGGCATCAGTGGCTTCATGGGTTGTGTGAAGGACCTGAAGCTGAACGAGGTGCCTGTAGAAAACCCCTCCCACAGTCAAGGGACTGTGCCATGTTTCCAGAACCCTCTACAGCCTGGAGTCTACTTCTCTGGACAAGGAGGACACATCACAATCGGTACCTGCTGTGGTTGATCCTCTTCACCGTGTCCTGCTCTGCTTTTATTCAGACCAGTCACATGATCCCTCTCTCCTCTATCTGCAGACGAGTCCTTGGTTCTTGGTCGGGATCTCGAGGTCAAGTTAGAGGTTCGACCCATCTCTGACTCTGGGCTGCTGCTGCATGCTGGGATATCAGCCAATCAACACCTTAGTTTGACTCTGAAGCAGGGAGAGGTGAGAAAGCAGGAGTGAATGTTCTGAAACACTGGCAGAAAATAATGTTTTGGTGAATTGGTGATAATGAATCTGTGTTTGTGTAGGTGACTGTGTCAGTGAACAGTGGTAAAGGTGAGTTCTCTGCCTCCTTCACACCTGAAGAACCTCTGTGTAACGGACACTGGCACTCCATCATAGGTGAGTTTTTCTTGAACCAGTGTCACTGATCTGTGGCTCTTCTCTGAACCAGTGTTAAAGTCATGCTGCTGTAACTCCTGTCCTGTCGTTGCTGCTCTTCTCCAGTGGTGATGAAGAACAACGTCCTGCAGCTTCATGTGGATGAAGCCACAGAGCAGAGTGTTGGCCCCAAACAGAGCCGTTCTGCAGGAAGCAAGGAGACTGTTTACCTCGGAGGAGTGCCTGGTGAGTACATACACACACAGACACACATAGTACATTATATACACCCATACTGGTTATAAGTTATTAGGATGTAAAGGTATTTGCTGAGATGTCCAATGTCCCCATGGGACAAACTATACAAAGGCTGTCGTGCAAGATCCAGAATAGCCTTAGGGCCTGGACAATCAAAGAATAAAAAACAACAGGGGGCGTTGTTGTGTTTTTTCTGAATTAATTCATTTTCTGCAGAATAGGGAATGGATACCAGCTGGAGTTGCAAATGATTATTTGCCTCATCCAGCAGGTGGCGTCCCAGGCGAACGCCTATGCTAGAAATCTGCTTGATTCAACATTCAGTGTTTCCAATGTCCACGGTTTTTGTCGGGTTTATTTTATTTCCTCCATTAATTGTATCACGGTGCCCCTGTCTGTCCACCAGATGGCGTTACAGTTCCTGCTGCGCACGCCGATCTGCCTCCTTTCCGGGGCTGCATCCGCCACGCCACGGTCAACCACAAACCCAGCGTGCTGTCCAAACCTCTGGCTGTGCACGGATCTGTAGGAACACAGGGCTGCCCGCACATATAAATCAAACACACACACACACAGTCTTATCCTCACATTCCCCAACTCTGAATACCTGGTGGTGGGTGTCATGTTACTGTAGCTTATTTAAAATATATATTAATATTTATTGTATATTTTGAATAAAATCTATATTTTATAACATTCTGTTCATTGAGGCTTTAGAACTGTTCTTTTTGTGCTACAGGGTGCTACAACAGTGACAACTGCACACACAGATGCACTGACACATGACGTTAAAGTGTCAAATCAATGTTTTTAATCATTAAAAAACTGTTTATATTGTATATAAAGCAAAAAACGCTTGAATTTTTTATATATATATAAACAAATGGTGAAAAAATAAATTATAACACAGTTGATTTCAGTCATTTTGCTGCAAAAAATGTTACATTTCAGATATATTCTACTGAAGTACAGACCGTGTACATACTGCCGCGGTGTGTTGTTGTGCATCTCCAGCAGAGAACGTTGATTCCTACTGAGTCGGTACACTGTGAACACTGATTTGTGAGAAATGTCCTCGAAGGAATATGGGAAATATTGTATACAACAGACACAGATATTTTACTGAAGATACGCAAAAATCGGACACATCCGTCATTCAACAACGTGAAGTACACGTGAGTACTCTGGAACATTTTTAAGTTTGTGCCATTTTTATGTTGTGTACACATTTTCCCATCTGTGCTGTGTAAGTAATCATGTACCAAATGTTTGTGAAACATGTATTTTGTATAACCACTTATAAAAGAAAATATCTCAGAAAGAATAAGCTTTCCTCCTCACTCACCTGTTGTAAATGCATTTATAAATAAAACGTTTTTTCATACAATCTGCCCTGGTCAGCTGCCTTAAAAACAAGTCAAAAATCTGGTTTATTCATGTATGATTTATTTTGATTATGATGATAAATCACTAAAACAAAAGTGTGAAAACAAAAAAAGAAGGAAATAAAACCTCAACAAAGTCCCGACTCAAACACCTATTGTTCTCAAACATTCCTCCCATAATGGACTGAACTGTTCATTAGGACAAGTTTAGTTGGTGTTCACAGTTAAAACTACTGACACAACTTTATCCTTTCACAGATGTGTGGAACCTGCTCGCAAACACAGGAGCTACAGTTATAAAACAACAACAGAGAGAGAGAGGGAGGTAAAAAGAAAAATGAAATACTGAAATGAATTATAGATTTGTTTTTTTGTATGTTTTTAGTTTAAGTTTTCGACTCTAATCCAGACTCATGTCCTCATCGTCATCCTTCTTCTCTCCTTTACTGCCCTGCATGGCTCTGGCGAAGGCTTCGACATCTGTGGCGTCGACAGAATGTAAAAAAATATATTTTAGTCACACATTCTTCACTTTAAAAGTAAAATACCTTTTTAAAAGTACCTAAAATAGGAGTAAATTATGAGACAAAAATGTAAACACAGCATTGACTGTGAAGAACATGTTAACATTAAAGTAAATGTAATCAAAGCAGAAAACAATGTAAACCTCAGGGTGGATGTAAACATAAAGGACCAATGTAAAAATGTAAACAGTCTCAGGAGACGGTTACATGGTAGTCAAGTCGTTTTTTTTATTTTTTTATTTCCTCCATTAATTGTATCACGGTGCCCCTGTCTGTCCACCAGATGGCGTTACAGTTCCTGCTGCGCACGCCGATCTGCCTCCTTTCCGGGGCTGCATCCGCCACGCCACGGTCAACCACAAACCCAGCGTGCTGTCCAAACCTCTGGCTGTGCACGGATCTGTAGGAACACAGGGCTGCCCGCACATATAAATCAAACACACACACACACAGTCTTATCCTCACATTCCCCAACTCTGAATACCTGGTGGTGGGTGTCATGTTACTGTAGCTTATTTAAAATATATATTAATATTTATTGTATATTTTGAATAAAATCTATATTTTATAACATTCTGTTCATTGAGGCTTTAGAACTGTTCTTTTTGTGCTACAGGGTGCTACAACAGTGACAACTGCACACACAGATGCACTGACACATGACGTTAAAGTGTCAAATCAATGTTTTTAATCATTAAAAAACTGTTTATATTGTATATAAAGCAAAAAACGCTTGAATTTTTTATATATATATAAACAAATGGTGAAAAAATAAATTATAACACAGTTGATTTCAGTCATTTTGCTGCAAAAAATGTTACATTTCAGATATATTCTACTGAAGTACAGACCGTGTACATACTGCCGCGGTGTGTTGTTGTGCATCTCCAGCAGAGAACGTTGATTCCTACTGAGTCGGTACACTGTGAACACTGATTTGTGAGAAATGTCCTCGAAGGAATATGGGAAATATTGTATACAACAGACACAGATATTTTACGCAAAAAGATACGCAAAAATCGGACACATCCGTCATTCAACAACGTGAAGTACACGTGAGTACTCTGGAACATTTTTAAGTTTGTGCCATTTTCATGTTGTGTACACATTTTCCCATCTGTGCTGTGTAAGTAATCATGTACCAAATGTTTGTGAAACATGTATTTTGTATAACCACTTATAAAAGAAAATATCTCAGAAAGAATAAGCTTTCCTCCTCACTCACCTGTTGTAAATGCATTTATAAATAAAACGTTTTTTCATACAATCTGCCCTGGTCAGCTGCCTTAAAAACAAGTCAAAAATCTGGTTTATTCATGTATGATTTATTTTGATTATGATGATAAATCACTAAAACAAAAGTGTGAAAACAAAAAAAGAAGGAAATAAAACCTCAACAAAGTCCCGACTCAAACACCCATTGTTCTCAAACATTCCTCTCATCATGGACTGAACTGTTCATTAGGACAAGTTTAGTTGGTGTTCACAGTTAAAACTACTGACACAACTTTATCCTTTCACAGATGTGTGGAACCTGCTCGCAAACACAGGAGCTACAGTTATAAAACAACAACAGAGAGAGAGAGGGAGGTAAAAAGAAAAATGAAATACTGAAATGAATTATAGATTTGTTTTTTTGTATGTTTTTAGTTTAAGTTTTCGACTCTAATCCAGACTCATGTCCTCATCGTCATCCTTCTTCTCTCCTTTACTGCCCTGCATGGCTCTGGCGAAGGCTTCGACATCTGTGGCGTCGACAGAAATGTAAAAAAATATATTTTAGTCACACATTCTTCACTTTAAAAGTAAAATACCTTTTTAAAAGTACCTAAAATAGGAGTAAATTATGAGACAAAAATGTAAACACAGCATTGACTGTGAAGAACATGTTAACATTAAAGTAAATGTAATCAAAGCAGAAAACAATGTAAACCTCAGGGTGGATGTAAACATAAAGGACCAATGTAAAAATGTAAACAGTCTCAGGAGACGGTTACATGGTAGTCAATGATTACTGTAACTGGCCTACATACAGTCCTAGCGTTTTATTTCACACTGTTGCGACTGACTTGTCTGCGTACATCAGCTCTCATAAAATGAGCTTAAAGAGAGACAAACACAGAGAAATAAATTGGGTTTTAATGGGATTTAATCTTTTTAAGAGCCTGACTAATTAGTTTTTTTCTCATTTGCTGATAGAGTCTAGTTCATTCGAGTCTCAGAGAAAGGAAAAAACAACAACAACAAAAAAACCTGCACTGTGTGCATTCGTGTCTCACCTCCTCTGTTGGCAGCGTCCACAGCTTCCGCTGGCAGACCAAACTGACTCATGAGGGGGCCGAGCTGCCCCGAGGCCAGGGCGCTGCTGAACATGCTCATGGACTGAAGCAGAAGGAGAAGGATCAGGCGGATTAGTCAACTCTGTTTGATGACAACAGGGAGGAAGTGCGTGTGCTCTTGTCTTAATTCAACTCCTCTTTCCTACCTGCTGGAACTGAGGTGAATTAAGTGTGTTCTGGATCTCCTCAGCAGACTGTGGTAAACTCTCACCACTGGGCAGGAAGGGCAGCAGCCTCTGCTGGACCTCAGCATTAGTCAGAATGGGGGCCATCATCTCTGGAGTGCAAACACTTGCGAGGTCCACTGGGAAAGAAGACACAAGGTGGCGTTGGTGGATGTCCGTCTACACATTCCATTCACTACTTTTTTTTTCCCTTCAGCTCTGAGTGCAGTCTCTACGCCGACTCCTCACCTGCTGTTCCCTGAGCAGCTGACGCCGGGACATTCATGGTGGCGAGGATGCTCTGAAGGTCACTCAGCTGGATGGGCTGGTGTGGTGTAGGGCTCCCAACAGAGGCTGGGGCCAGAGGAGTCGGAGCAGCAGCTGCAAACCACAGGAGTAAATGGGGAGGTGCGAGGAGATTTCAGCAAAAAAAAGGGAAAAAGAAAAACGTGAGAAGAAGCTGCGGAGTAACAATAAGAAATATCACAATGATTCTGGGCCAATCGTGTTGCTAATCAGATAGAAGTCATGGGCAGATTGTTCAGTTCTGACAGTACCTGGTGTGGAAGGTGTCACAGCGGAGGCAGCAGGAGTCACAGGGGTGGTGGGAGCCTGAGAGGAGCTCAGTCTGGAGGCTCCTGTTGATGAAGGAGTAGCTGCTGCTGACTGGCTACGAGAACTGGGAAGAACAGGGAGTAGAAGAGGATAAAGAGATGATGAAAGTTAGAATATCAACTTAGTCTTTTTTCTTTTATTTATTATGTCTGGTCCTCTCACCTGGACGAGGAGCTGCTTGTAGCTGGTCCACCACCACCTAGTAAGTTGGCAAGTCCTGGTCCTGCCAGAGCCCCCAGGCCTCCTTACACAACACAATGTGAAAATTATAAGTAGAATTATTAACTTACTACATAGTTTGTTTACAGGGAGCAACTTGAAAAGTCTTTTCCTCGCTTTGGGATTCACCCTGGTGTGGTGTGCGTGTGTGTGTCAGACAGGAAGTCATTGAGGATCATAATAAATAACATCCTTGTGCCGCTCACCCAGTCCACCCAGCCCTGTGGGTCCAATCAGCTGCATCAGCTGGTTGTGGCTCATATTTCCTAGCAGGTTCTGCAGGCCTCCCTCGCCTCCCAGTGCAGACAGCTCTGGTCCGCTGCCGCCTCCACTTCCTGGTGCGCCTGGAATTGGGGGGTTGTTCAAGTACTCATTCACCTTCCGGCAGTATTCCTCATCTTTGTCTGTCTTTGGCTCCTGAAGGCAACGAGACAAAGAGATTTACAGGTTTGTTTTTTGTCTTGTTCCTTGTTGTTTTAGATAATTAACTGTGCTACAGCTGCTTTTTACTACTGCTTTTTCATACCTGCATCCAAAAGAACAGTCGCTTGGATCCTGCTTTAAACTTCAGCACATAGACCCGTCCAGTGGTGCACTGATTCACCCTCTTAAATTCACAGTCATCTGGGAAGATTATTAGGTCCTGAAGAAGAACAGAGAGACAACATTAAATATTCATACTAGTCACAAACAACAGACGATGTGTGACTAAAAGAAGAGCTGAAGTTACTCACATCGTCAACGTTACCAGTTGTCCTGTCCTTCCAGCAGAAGTGAATCAGGGAGTCGTCAGACTGCTGGATGTACACCATGCCCTTGCGTTTGTCTGGTGTCACTACATTTCCCTTCAGGGTCATTTTACCAGCACGAAACTCTACGAGATATTTACTTGAACTTCCCCTGGAGCCGCTGACCAAGCTCGGAAAGAGAGCACCAGAAGACATTTTCAGAACGCTGTGTGGACAAATCTGAAGACTGAAAAAAAAAAGAGTAAGTAGTCATGGTTAAGGTATTGGTATTATTGTTATTATGCTGGGACGTTATTATAATAACATTATATCTAAAACGGCAAACACAGGTAAAAAACAACGCCATATACTTGTGACAATTTACAAGTGGTTTGCTTGTTTAAAAAATACTTTCTATTACACTATTACTACTATGCAAATACTGACACGCGGCCAAAAGTTACAAAGATACTTTAAACTAAATAGGAAAAACGTGCAGAATTCAAATTAATGTTCATTTAACACGTACACACGTGGTTTTTACTTTTTAGTAATACTTTACTGCAATTTCGTTTTTAATTTGCAACATTATATGCACTTTATTCTCGGATTCTTATTTTACAAAAGTGTGTAGTTATTTTTACGGATGGAAAACTAGCATCGGGTGGCTAACGGTTGTTTACTCATCACCAATATTTTCAAAGACAATAAATATACATTTCACGGTGTTTGTGTGACCGATGACATTTTTAGTTACACATTTTATTCGTGAAGATACTTCAGATTCCTATTATGCATTTGTTAAAGAAAAATTAACTTTTGCGAACGACCGTAACAAAAGCAGCAGTTCTAGCTGTCATAGCTAACATTAGCCCGTGACTAGGCTAAACATCAGGCGAACAGGGCCAAGTGTAAATGTGTATCGAAATTAAGTCGTTTAAATTTGGGGGGTATTCGAAAGGACTCTGCAACAAAATACTTTAGGCAGCTGCATATAACAAAAATTGAAAAATCACACACGTTCACAAACCTGAACTTTATTACTGGAGTTGAAGTGTCACGTCCTTTTTCTGCTGATCGTTGCTCAGTACAGACGTACGGTGGCTGACTTCCTGTTGTGTCGTGACCGCGCCTCCTTTCGGCAGCGGCGCGCATTAACAGAGTGGGAGGGATTCCGCTTCGCCGCTGAGCTGGGATTGACAGTTCCTTGCTTCACAGTGTAGCTGCTTTATCTTCGTGGCCGCACTACCGGCTGTTTGAATGCTTGAGCGGTGGAGAGGGAAGGAAAGCAAAACTAGGATGCAAGTGAAATAAAACTCACAAGAGACGCAGAGGAGCCAGACTGTTCGCGGTCGATCAAAGGTAAGAAACGGTGCTCAGTTAGCGCAGCTGCTAACATTAGTCAGCTTTGCTGCCCTTGGATTAGTTAGCAGGCTAAAGTGCTAGCCGCCTAATTCAAACCAGGCAAATCACTCGGTGCTGAGGACCATTTAAAACAACATGGATGCTGTGGGAGTCGTTTGATGCGACGGCTGGAGATTATCTGCTTTGCGTCGCAAGGTGGCCGTTTTTTTTAGTTACGTTGTCAGTCACGAGCTCGGGTGCCGTATGTTAAAAAGAGAGGCTGGTTCGAATCCCGGGGCGTCATATGGATTATTGTGAGGTGATACGTGACCGAGTGTGGAAACGGTACAGGATAAATCCGGATTTGCAGTCTGCAGCCAAATGAAGAGTGTGTGTATTTCTTAATTTCTTTGCAACTTAATGTTTACTAAATCAGTAGTAAAATGTGCGTTGAAATATACACGTAAATAATAAAACAAAATCACGTAGAGTTTAAAGTTGCTGTATCAGAGGTGCCACCTGTCTTTATGTGATGAATGAATGCAGATAATTATTTGTGGGAATATTCATAGAGCACATTTTAAACCGGTTTTTAAATTAAACCTTAATGAGCTATTTTTTCGTAATAAAACAGTCTCTATGTGTCTGTGATAGGCAGGTTTTTTGTTTAACCTTAAGCAAAATAAATCTTAATAATAAATAATAAATAAAATTATAATTAAATACTCCTCCTAAAAAATAAAGGCACAATGTATACGTAATGACGGCTGGTAAAACTGATAAATTCTTGTCAATATTTTTTCACAATTAATTATAACTAGGAATTAGTCTTTTCTTCAGGCCGTGGTCGTTTATTTTTTATTTTTATTTTTTTTAAGAAAAACATCAGTGACAGGAGACAAATCTCTCTATTACGTGGCATGTGAACGCTACCCCTTTTTCTCCTTGGGAACAATGAGGTGAGAGACATTTATTTATAGTCAATCGCAAAGCACAGCCCCAGATGTTTCGGAATCTTACATATCCTTACAAAGTGTTTCGGATTTCAGCCTTTCAGATTTCCATGATGCTTTAATACCATGTATTTGCTTTGTTTGTTTATGTTGTGTGAATAGGATCAATAAATGTATCATGTGCTAATATACCTCTCCATTCATAAATAATCACATAGTTGAGACCCAAAGCATTTAGATATAATTCCGTCATTGTCTCCAAGACATTTTTTCATAGTATTTTATTATCTGCACTCATACAAATATTTTTGACCCTAGTGTCATGAATACATTTTATATATATTTTTAAACTCAGAACTGCATACGCAACAGTATTTGTAAGATCTTTTGTCACTTAACAAATTTGTTACAAAGTATACGTATTATCTGCCACTCCACTGGTTTGTATGAGTTGAGGCAGTACATTGTGGTAAATGATGTCATCAGTAAGAGCTCTGGCTATAGCAGTCATCAGTGACTCATGGTAAAGCCAGTCGCATTAAATCCCAGGTAACATAACCATTAGAACATAACCATTAGAAAGTCAGAGGGGAACAGTGTTCCAGCAGTTACACTGAAAGGTTAATCCTGATTTATATACCTGTCAGAGCTTCTAATGTGACCAGTAAAAATAATAATCTCAGTCACCGTTCATCACTGCCTGTGGTGATGTCTTCAGACCTCCCGTCCAACGCTTCAGTCAGTGTGTCTGTGTAACAGTCAGTGTCTCTGCTGTGACCCTTGAATACCTAAAATTATCCTGCAGCTGATTCCCACTTTGGCTCACTGCTATTTTATATTGGTATTTGTATGCTGTCTTGGAAGGATGACCTGGTTTGTGATCACTGACCCAAAAGAAAAGTATTACACTTATTGACACACACGTTGCCAGAAGCACGCCAACAACATGGAGGAAAGCATAGATCAGAATAGATGAAAACTAAAAGACTTTAAAATGAAAAAAATATAAATATATACAGAACATTTTTAAAAATACATGTTGATGACATTGTCATTTATCTATAAACACTTTCATTTTTGGGTGAGACAATGTGTCATGAGTTGTCACGAGTGCATTCTTTAGACACTTTGGTGTTAGAAGTCCTGTGATTGCCGGTCACGTGTACTGTAGCTGTCAAAAGTTTGCCATCAAAGTTCCCAATCATCTGCTGTTTGGTTTACCTGCACGGACACCGGAACCTTTCACGCAGTCTGTTACATTAGTCTAACGTTTTCCACTGTATCATCATCATCCGCCATCAAAGTTCCCAATCATCTGCTAACGTTTTCCACTGTATCATCATCATCGTAGCCAATGTGTAAATGCTGACAAGTGGCTTACTTCACATCAGCTAATGAAGTGGTTTTCCTTGTGCAGTATAGGAACTTTGTGCCAGTAGGTAAGTGTATACAGTAGATAATAAATAGTATCAGTGTCTGCACTTTGAGCTCAGCCTGATTTAATTTCTACTTTTTTATCGCACATGCAGTTGTAGCCTTTCTGTTAGACCTTTAGTTACTATTTAAGGCTTAATGACCAAACAGCACAGTTGTTGTTTTGATTGTAGTATAAAACATGAGATCCATACTTTCTAACAATTTAAATAAATTCAAAATATGTCCAGCTGCTATATCACTAAAGTAAATGTGTCCAGCACATGTTCTTGACCTTCAGGGTCTGTATATTTGTATATTCTGTAATATAACTCCTGCTGTAGCTGCATGATATTACGATATTTTGAATTTTAAAAAGTAGTTTCACAAAGTAGCGTATTCTACTAGATTCATCATGTCTGTACAGTTATGACATTAAGTGTATTTTTTTGTTACCCTAACTGAAAGTAATCAGAAGTATACTTTAATAACGCATTGATTTTTTTGCGTGCATCTTCCTCCGTGTGTCCAACAGCTGTATTTACTGTAGCATCCTTAACAATGACACCACGTCATGGTCTGCTGGTTGTCAGGGCTGCATTGGTGTAACCTGATCTCGATGAACCGACATGGGGCAGTGGTGGCTTGGTGGCACCGTCCACACACACACACACTGCTTTAGTCGACCCCTGTCCACTTTGGTGATGGGTTAAAAGCAGAGTTCACATTTTGTTTCTTCACATTTCGATGACATTTTCTGCACTTTGGGTTCTACTTTTACAAACAAAGACGGAGTCTTCTGTTACACATGAAATATGTTAGACAAAATATAATAATCTATAAAAGACGCCTCTATTCCTGCATGACAGACAACTACAGTATGAGTTTGAATAAGTCGAGATCAAAAGACGAATTATCACCCAAGAGAGAATAAATATGGAAAAACACCTTAGTGAAGAAGTGATGATGAGTGTGAAGAGTGGTGAGGTGGGGTGGGAACATATGGTAATGGATGCTACAGTAATTGTGGAGAATGAAGAACAGCTGTGTTGACAGTTGGTTACATGGTAATACGTTGTTTTAACTGATATTTAACCTCTGTTACAGTACATAGGTATAAATGAAATGTTATGATTAAATCCAGATAAATAATTTTCAAATGAAAAGAATTTTACAGTTTTATATTTTAGCGCGTAGGCATATAAACTAGGGAAGTGATAAGTATGGACGGTTAAACAGAGAGTTCCTTCATGGTAATTCATTTGTCTTTTGACCACTTTTACCCTCTGACACAAATTATGTTTTGCCAACTAACTTTTTTCCCAAATTAGATTAAGATAAAGAGTCGATGGAAACTTGTCTGTTATAATGAATTGTCTGTCCAGTCTTACTGTATAAGCTGCACTGATAGACTTGTTGGTAGTCTGCCAGTGTCTTCTTTCAAGCTTTATTAGCCTGATGGTGGTATGCCAAAAGAGCTGCAGAGTTCTTGCTTACTGTAGACCAGAAGTCTTCACTTTGACTTTTACATTAAATTATCATGAGTGCAAATGTGAGAGCGGTGCACACTTAGGTGACTTAGGTGGCATTAATGACAGATTTAACCGTCAGAGAGGAGGAGCAAACTGGAGCTTTTTGAACGACAATGCTATAAATTTGATTGCAGTTTTATTTTTATTTTTATTTTTACTGTGTGCTGTCATTCATGCCACTTGGATATGTACTAGTATTTTTATTTTATTCCGTCATTCATGCCACTTGGATATGTACTACTGTGTGTGTGTGTGTGTGTGTGTGTGTTATCTCCTTCAGAAGCAGGCTGACATCTATCATGACCCACTTTCTCAGTGACACACATACAGAGTCACCCATCAGGTCATAATAGGAGACAAACAAAAATCTATTTAAATGCTAATATTTGCTTTTATAATACATAAATAAATTAAAAATAAAAATGCAAGTGTCTAATTGGAAGAAATCAAGGCTATTTTTAAATGTTGTCGTTGATGTTAATGTATGAAAAAACCTGAAAATGGTGTACATTTACTGCAGTGTGTGTAAGATATGTATACAAGATATATAATGTCCATGTGTTTTGGTTCACTGTATTTTTCATGTCATGAATTTTTTTAATCGTCTTAAGCCTGGATATCATAAAAATATTGTCGTACTGTCGTGTCATCAATAAATAGAAATATTGTCGTACTGTCGTGTCATCAACAAAAATCTCCGATAAGCCCTTTCTACGAGTGAGGAAATTGGTAAATTTGCTGCCTGATCGTCAGACTTTGCGCTGAATTTCTTCCGTGCTGTTCATACATTTAAAATAAATTTGATTAACAACTTCAACGTCATTGACTCCAAAGTTGAGAAGATCTTGTGTTAACAGCGGATTTGCTGTTTTTTCCTGTGGGAAACGAACCCAGGACTTTCTGCTCACGAGTCAGACATGCTAACTGCTACACTAGCAACCATAGTATGAAACTGTTACGTACAGAAATGATTTGTGACTACTATCTATATAGTGTTTTTGATTGTTTTTATTTTTAACATTTTCTTTCAATATATTTAGTAATATTTTTATTTTTGTTGAATTTATAAATATAAATGATTTCTTAATCAGCTTCAACACACACCACATTTATGTGTGTGTGTATCATGGTTGTTGGTACAGACAGGTGTTGTGTAAAAGCCCTGTTGAAAACCCCAGTTGCACAACCTTTAGAAGTAGAGGGATGTTCATAAACTGATGTGACACTTCTGTTTTCTAAGAATAGCAGTGAACGGATCAGTGAAGCAGTTAAACTGCTGTTATGTTTAACCAGTGTCTGTTATTGGAAAATGTTTTACTTTAACATCAGCATTTATGTGAAGTGTATCTTTGACTATTGCAGTGATGAAAAAATCAGAAAAAAAAGTAAGATATGATGTGCAACATCATTCATTCTTTCTAAAAGATATTGTCCAAACTTTCAGTTTTTTCCTAATATTTATCTTTTTATTTATGTTGCCAAATTATTAAATGATTATCTATTATTGTCTTTGCCTTCGAGAAGTGAATTACTTGTCATTGAGACACAGCTCACCAATGAACACAACAAAAATGTGACCTCTACATTTTACCTCTCACCAAAGTGAGCAGTCTAAGAGCCTGGGGGTGTGAGGGCACGGTGCCCACCCAGACACCACTGCCTCAAACATTAGAGTTGATAAAAGATATAGCAGAGGATGGTTTCGATCCATCGACCTCTGGGTTATGGGCCCAGCACGCTTCCGCTGCGCCACTCTGCTTGTAGATAGCAAGGTAGAACTTTATGAATCCCTCAGGAGTTCCCTTCAGGAAATCAAGGAGGGACAATGACAGAGAGCTTTAAGTAAAATTCCTCTGCCTTGAATCAGTAACAACGTGTGAAAGGAGCTTCACTGTGGTTTACACTGTTTGCAGATGACAACTTAAACTGTGTATTTTATTGTACACCTTAAAAACTACGGGTAAAAATAAAGTCAGTCTCACATGCGACGACTCAGACTCTGTGGTGCCGTCTTCACCACAGTATGTTTTTCTTTATTGTTTCTAAGCTGTGTAAATTTGACTTTCAGCTCATTCATCTCCATGAGGTGTAGTCAGTGTTTAAAGGGTTGACACGGAGACTGTAGTATCTAGATAATCTCTGGATCACCAGTGCTTCACACTCATTGGTTAATCCCCATCATGTGGGGGCTTTATTCACATTGTGATTTGTTGCTCTGTGGAGGGGATTTAAGGATGTGTTAACTCATTGTGCTTCGGTGTTTCTGCAGTTGTTTTTGTGGCTGAACCGTTGTAGCCATCTGGATCTGTACAGACGTTTAGATTCAAATAAATGACCCAGTCAAGTTGAAACATTTGAATAGTCCCTAAGGTTTATTTTAAATGTCTGTTATCGACTACTTAGAACATTTTGATGCATGGTGTTGATTTAAGGTGTTCCCTTACAAACGGTGTCCTGTAAGATTAACTCTGTATGGTCTAAGTCTGCTGAAGTAAACCTACTAAAACCTCCTGTAGTAGCAGTAAGGCTCTGCCTCAGTTCAAAGAGGTTTCACACAGACCAAAATGCAGCTAATAATCATTTATAGCGTTTTATAGTTGATCATTTGCCTGTCTTATCAACCGTTCATTAGGTAATCCACAATGAGCAACAACATACGTTTATAAATACATTACATTGTTTTTATCCCTTGTAAAATGTGCTAATTCTATGTTCAAAACCTGAAGGGAAATTTGTGATTTATTTTTTATTTATTTATTTATTTATTTTCTTCAAAACAATGCTAGCAATGGGATTCGGTTTCTCTGACAAAGTCCAGTGTGAAGCCATTGTTTTCGTTGTTAGTTGAGTCTAATTTAGTGTCTGTGAGGCTGATTTGGCTTAGTGTGGTCTCTAAGCCTGCCAACCCTCCACACCTGTTGTCTGACAGAGTTTTTTCCTTATGTGTTTAGGCCCCATCGCTGCTCAGTTCAAAGGTCAGAGATCAGAATGTCTTCATTCTCAGTCTTTGTAAGCAAACGTCAGGTTGACAGATCAGTGGTTTTAGTTTTTAATGTTTGACATGTGCAACGGAATCCTTCATTGGTGTTCATTCGTATTTTGTTGGTTTTTTTTAATGACAATGTTTCCAAGTAAAAATGTTAACTGGTGAAAAATAGAGCCAGTAGGTGGCAGTAAAGCAGCGCAAATGATGCTGAAGTGCAAGGTGGAAATATCAGCTTAGCTCTTTCTCTCTCTCTCTCTCTCTCTCTCTCTGTATCTCACTATCTCTCTCTCTCTCTGAGTCATCGGTGAATTTTGTAAACATACATGTTGGTAGTTAGTCTTAAGGAAGTCTGATTTACTGGAATCACGAGGTCCAGTGAGGAAACGTTTATTCCTTTCTCTTCCGGTGCCTTTCAGAGTCAGTTTCACCATCTGGTCATGAGCAGTCTGGTGGTCAATTAGAAAAGACATTGATTTTACTGATAATATATACTGATTTTACAATACATTTTTCTCACTGAAAACATACTGTTAAATTGAGTCAATAATAATAATATTCTTCTCCTCTTTTTCCTGTGATTGACTTATCAAGACACAGACAGAGAAATACAATCATCCACTGAAGTTGAACATTTTCTCCCATATGTTTCCTTTTAAGACAAGGCAGATCAGTAGATTATTTCCCCCCCTGCAGGTCATTGGTGTAATTACTAATTTAATTTTTTTCCCCAACAGTTGAGTCTTAACTGGTGAAGGAGCAGGTAAAAGGACAAAAGAAGAGGAGATAAAAAAGAGAGAGAGGCCATGGATCACCAGAGACAGAGGGCGCTCTCCACATCGGGGGAGACTTTGTACGCTGTGCTAGGAGTGGACAAGAATGCTACATCGGAGGACATCAAGAAATGTTATAGGTAGAACCTCGAGCCCCATTAGGGACATGAATATTAATGCTGGTTACCACTAGATGGCATATGTATCCTGTGTAATTTACTGAGGTAAAGTTAATTATTCATGAAACACTACTGGGTGTAAACGATGGTCTGACAACACTCAAACTTGAATTTTTAATAGGTCTCCAATGTTTAGAACATTTAATTTTCTCTCTTTAAAAGTTCTGTGACTCAACACCTGCTCTCAGATCTGGTCTGGACCCTAGATTTGGAGGATGTTTCCCAAGTTCTTTACCCACAGTTGTTTTGTGTTTTTTTTTTTCAAACACAGGAAACTGGCACTGAAGTTTCATCCAGATAAAAACCCAGACAACCCAGATGCAGTGGAGAAGTTCAAGGAAATAAACAACGCTCACTCCATACTTTGTGACGGAACCAAGAAGAACATCTATGATAAGTACGGCTCACTGGGACTGTATGTGGCAGAACAGTTTGGAGAGGAGAACGTCAACACCTACTTTGTTCTGTCCAGTTGGTGGGCAAAGGTACGGAGAGATGAACGTTAGCTTGTTTTTGAATATATGAAAGTATTTTAAATGTGAACTGCAGTAGAAGAGATTTTCTGTCTTCTCTTAGAAAGAATAATTTGGCTGCTGCATTGGTTTTTAACTCTACAGCCAGTCTGTCAGCTTAACATCTGTACTGCACTAATGTAGTATTACTAAAAGTATTTGGAAATGAGTCCAAAGCCCAGTAGAATTTCATGTCGTGCTGAGGTTCTTGGTCATTTTTCTAAATATAAACGGAGTATTGACCTCCTGTCTTCTTCCCACAGGCCTTGTTCGTCTTCTGCTGCCTGGCCACAGGCTGTTATTTCTGCTGTTGCCTGTGTTGCTGCTGTAACTGTTGCTGTGGTAAATGTAAACCCCGGCCGCCCATGGACCAAGAACCGGACTTTTACGTCTCCCCGGAAGACCTGGAGGCCCAGATGAACGCCGACGAGAGAGGTAAGGCAGCAGAGGACGAAGAGCTCGAACAGTTACTGTAAGAGAACTATATTATTAAAAATTACTATTAAAAACACATTTATTTATGTGTGTGTCTTTGAATTAAAATTTCAGATGGAGCTGAGCCTATAGTGATGCAGCCGTCCTCGGCCACAGAAACCACCCAGCTCACCTCCGACGCCCACCAAAGCTACAGGACCGAGGCGTACTGAACACGCACACACAACCTAACTGTAACAAACAAAAACAACAATTGACCAATGGCTAAGTCCTATCTCCTGAAATCGTGTTGACAAAGCCCTGGACTGTGGGCTGGTTTGTAGACTAGGATTCACATTCTGCTGCGTGTCAGTGAAGCGAAGGCCTTTTTAACATTTGGATTCAGCTACAAAATGTTGGACTTTTATATCAGTTTAAGGTTTGTTTTTAAGTCTAAATGTTTAAAGCACATAACTATTTTAACACAGCTTTTTATTTCCTTAAAGCCAAGTACTGTCTCGTCTCCATATCAACAGAATTCTGTGTTCTGTCAAATCCACGTCCAAATTACCTGCAGATACTTTTGTATTGAACGTCGACGTGAAGAACCAGCAGTGACTTTTGTTCCTTTCCCTTTAGTTTAGTCCAAATCCACAGATGGCTTCGTCCACTACAGTCAGAGTCTGTGCTGGGTGTAGGTCGATGCTGACCTTTGCAGCTATTGGCTCAGCCGTGTTTGAGGACAGCACTTACCCATTGGTCAATTAAATGGACTGCTAGATTACACTGCACACGTCCGGGCCCACATCTGCATTAATAATTGTTCATGGCACAGCTCCACCAGCAGACAGGAGACGACAAACAGAACCCTCCCACGTCTACGCTCCACTTTATTCTAATGAGTTTCCAACCGAGGCAGTGGGTGAGGAGAAGGGGGGAGAAAAGGAGAGAAGACTTTGGTTTTTAGTTTAACATTCAACAAGAGGCAACGACGCCCTTCAGAGCTGGTTTGTGATTGGTCAAAGTCAGATATTAGTTTGAGTTTTTAATTGTTTTCATCAGCTATTTTTTTACAAATAATTTTCGGCTTTTAATGTTGAGTTTGAGAGTGAGAAATACCACAAGAGGGAGCTAAAGTACCACCAATGATACCTGCACCATACCTTGAGAACCACTAAACACATTTAAAGATGATTCATCTTTATTTAAAAAAATAAAAGGAGAATTGAACCGACAACCAAGGTTTTAAAAAATCATTCACATACAAGAGCCACCACAGATGGAAATATCGAGCCTTGATCTGTGTTTGAGTCTATTAATACCTTAGTGATTGTCAGTCACTGACTACGCCCCCTATAGACGTGTAAAGATATACTCCGTATAACCCTATATGACATACCACAGCGTCACAGAACACCTAGAGAGGCCTGCTGCTCACAGACCACAGCTCCACACCGGGTCACACACACAGATCTGACAAAACAACATCGTCTGGATCTAATGATGCTGAAGGAGAGAGGGGAGAATTTAGTGACGGTCTGTAGAACAGGTGACACACTGTCCCAAATCATGGACGGACAAACAGACGTTTCAAACCAATAAAACCGAATCCGTCAGTGAAGAAACATGTCAACATGTGTCACCTGATGTACTGATGTGATCGGATCTCCAGAGTCACATGTCTCAGCATCAGGAACAACAGCACCCCCCCCCCCCCCCCCCCCACACACACACACACACACTTCTCCTATATCAGACCACAGTGATTAGTTCACCGTGTCTCCGTCCTGAAGTAGCTGCTGTGGTGAAAGAACGACCTTTCACCGACTGTTAAAATCTCACAGGAGATTCCCAAAAATACCGCCGTCATTATTTTTGATAGATGCCACGTAGCCACCTTTAGCATCTGTGTGGCCCGGTGGACTCGTTCTACATCATTAAAACCAAATGGATTTTCAGCTGTGAATCTCTTCAAACTGTATTCAAACCTTGCAGCTGCTGGAAGTAAATCTCACTCTCTCTCACTCTCTCTCTCTTTTGCTTGTGATTCAGCTCTGAGCAATTGAAATGAAAATGAACTCCCAGCCGGCAGAGTAATCAACATGTCGACTGAGCGCCGTGACAGACACGTCTGTCTACAGCAGCCACAGACTGTAGTATAGTATGTAATAGACCTGCTCTGATGATTGAAACGTTAAAGTACAGCAGAAATAATGAAGTGGTTTCAGAAGTTTGCGCTACCCTCTAACTTCCTGAAGGAGTTTCACTTACTGCAGTATTTCAGATTTTAGTTTCAGTTAGAATATCATCGCTCCCATTAATCAATAGTAGATGGGTTCAAACATGTAATCAATCACATATCCAGCTGTGCTTCTTCACTTGTTCTTCATGAAAATGTGTTTTGAAGATACAAATCCAATGAGGAGTGTTCATTCATCCAGTCTCCGTCTAAATGTCTGACTCAAACCCACATGTTATTGTTTGAACATGAGTTTATTATCAGACCTGCACAAAAAGAAACTTCTGTATAATTTGGCAACACCAGCCTTGATTTCTAGGATAAAGTAATTTCATGGCAGTAAATGTTTTTTTTATTGTTTAGAGAAGCAGAATAGTAGTACGTAGTAGTAGAAGTAATTGAGCTAAAGACCGTATCCTTGACAAGGATATAGAGTAGTGGCTATGCAATAGCCACTACTGGATATACAGTACAACACAAGAGTGGGTCCCCACCCCCAGTGGTTCCCAACCCCTGGTTCTGTCGTCTTCCTTCTCTCCCTCTCCCCTCGGTGACCCACACGTGGCCTCTGGAATTCAAGTGTTAAATCACATACAGTGCAACGCTACATCGTCGACATAGATATCCACATACACTGAAATCATTTATACATTATTATTGTTTTAGCGTTTAATTTTCTTTGTTGTACAAGTAAAAAGCTCCATGTGCCGTGTGAAGTGAATGTTTAGATTTAATGTAATTTTTTTTAACAGTCACCTGGTTGTGTAGATTTTTCTTGTTTTTTTTTTCTTCTTATTTATCTTGTTATTGAAGAGAGGACGTCCGTCCTCAGCAGAGTAGTCATCTTGTTATTGAAGGGAGGACGTCCGTCCTCAGCAGAGTAGTCTTAATTGTTAACGTAGAAAATGAAGAAGATACTGAAATGATCAGAGCGTCTGGAAAGTGTCAGCGTTAGGGATTTTTGATTTAATTTAATTTAGTTTTTGCTTCATGGTGTACACGAGGTGGAAAAAAAAGTGTTCGTGTCATGTGTTGATTTTTGTATAAAACAACGAAAACACATCCAAAAAACATGGAAATTCTCATGTGACCACTCAGTCAGAATCACTAACCATCTGTGTGTGTGCAATAGGAAGAGAACAGGTTTGAGAGACTTCATGGAATCTGCAGGTTCATATCAACTTCAAAGCCACACTGATAAAAGAGAGATGAAGCCAAAAAAAAAATTATTTCATCTCTCTACTACAAAGAAAATCCCACAGCGGTTCCTGTGACTTGGTCTCAGCACCAGGTTCAGTACAGGAAGTTGTTCAGATTCACTCTCTGTTTTTAAGTCTTTTTCTTTGTTTCCTGAGTTTATATTGATTTCCCACTTGCTTTTAAAAGAAGGTTCTGGAAACTTCCAGGTTCTCTGTTTTGACCTGGCCAGCTCATGCCACAGTGTTAAAGTCTGAACCCTGACGTATTGACCAGTCTGTGCGTCCAAACAGAAATCACATCTTCTGTTGGATCTGAACCATGACATGACATGACATGACATGACATGGAGACGTTTTATTTATTTTCATCTTCCTATGTTTCTTTTTTTGATAACTAAGAACTACTAGTTTGTTGTGTTGAGGAGACGTGTAGCGTTTTAGATGTGAATCATTTTTCGGGAATGAAAACGATAATAAATAAATAAAAAAAAGAAAAAGCCAGACCTACTGTATATACACACTGTGGCACAGTACATGAAGATGTAGAGAAACTCTGTTTGTTGCATGGACTAAAGCTGTTTGTGTCTGTCAGGCAGACGAGTACTGTAGGTGAATTCAATATCTGATGTACTGTTGTAAAATAAATGTTTCTGATGCTTCAAAGTCTCCTCTATCAGTGTTGATCCTTTAAATGAAAAAAAGAGAGAGAGAGAACACTCACTGAATAATATTGATGGTCTCCATAGAATTGACATAAATCTGGTACTGTATTTATGTGTATTTCTCTCTCTATATATATATATATATGTATATATACATATATGTATATATATACATATATGTATATATATATATATATGTATATATACATATATACGTTTATATATGTATATATACATATATACGTTTATATATGTATATATACATATATGTATATATACATATATATATATATATATATACATATAAAATATATATTTAATAGGAGGTTTTGTTATATGTGACCTTGTGATCAAGTTATTTTGACAATACACTGACTAAAAGTATTGAGTGTTTAACAATCATAAAACTGTTTTTATTAAACTGTAAAAGTCTGACTGGTGGTTGAAAGTACACCTGTGTGTGTGTGTGTGTGTGTGTCTGTGTGTAAGAGTAGAAAGAGCACAGCATGGCGTGGTCTTAATCTGTCCACATACCAGTCACTCGCCCGATATGGTGTGTGTGTGTGTGTGTGTGTGTTGGGTTCATTCCAGAGACACTGAAAATGGACACGCTGCCCCCACTGC